ATGAGGTCCTGTCCGGTGACGCCGGCTGACGTAGGGTGACACGCCAAATTGCAGTGTGCCCTTCGCAGCTCGGCGGCCACCTCCACTCACCTCGCCGCCCGATTCCCCGAACGCGGCGCAACAACTCGCTTCATTTGCATAAACCGCGTTCGGCACGTCGGAGACAGACTACTGGATGCGCAAAAAAAGCGTCGAGACGCGCGTTGCAAAGTGTGGCGAGTGTGGGCCGGGCCGGCCTGGCCAATCCCGTTGTGGCATCGGCTGGTATTCCCAGTGGGGTGGCCGTCAAGGCCGCGTCGTCCTCACCACCCCCGCCAAGCGGCCCGGCAAGCAGCCCGACAGGCAGCCCGCCAGGCAGAAACCCAAAAAACACACGATGCCAAAAGAAAAGGATGTGTGCGTGAGTGTGTGTGCTGTGTCATGCCGTGAAAGTTCTAGTTTATCGTACTGGACGGCGAGCCGGCGAGGCGGAGAAGCGGAGTCCGCGGGCCACCCCGTGCAACCTGAGCCGAGCCCGGAGCCATGGCCCGGCCGAATGGGCCGAATGGGCCGAATGGGCCGAATCCCGTTCCTGGACCGAGCACACTTCGGCCCCTTCGCGCTTCGGCCCGCTCGCTTTTCGGCGGCAGCGCTCGTATTGGCAGTGTGGCTGCCTGTCTGCCTGCCCGTCTGTCCGGCCGACACGAAACACACGTGCTGTACGCTCGTGCGACTCGAGAGATATCATCATCCACAGCATCCTGGACACGAACAGAACACACCACAAATTCCCCCTCCCCTCCCCTCCCCTCCCTGCCCGCGAGGCGCGCGCACCGCGCACAGGACAAGGCGGATCGTCGCCAAATTTGGAACCCCCTTCGTTTCGTTTTCGCTTCGTTTCCCGCTTCTCTGCGTTCCGGCGCGTTCCGGCCGGCCGCGCCGTTGCGCGCACCTGCAGACCCATTCCGGGAGCCGCTCTCGACGCTCTGTCTCTCTCGCACTCGTGGGGCGTCTCGCATGGGTGCGAGAGAGACAGGAGTCGGCATCAACGCCAGCACGGCGTTAGCACGGCGCCAGCCGCGCGTGAGAATGAGTGAGCCCGGTTTCCTCACACTTATCAATCAGGCTTTTCAACACACTCCGAATATCTGAGGCCGGGCCTAGTCATCCCGGGTCACGGTCTGGGCATGCAATGAGCTGCCGAGCATCTGCCCGCACGCACGCTAACGCACACACACACTCACACACACACTCACGGACACGCGCGCACGCGGCAAGCAAAGCATAAGCAACGTTTTACGTAAAAGTGGTAGTGTCTCGAGCTTTCCACCAGGCGAACCGGTTTCGGCGCGCAGTTTGCAATTTGATGACCCGGTGCTTTACTCTCGAAATAAAACAAAATGGCCTGCACACTCACACACACGTACACACACGCAGCGCCGCGACATGCAAAACCTTAGCGAGATGAGGCCTCGCGGACCGAACCGTACTTCATCGCTCTGTCTCTCTCTCGCACTGCTATGGGACGTCCCAACGTGTCCGAGAGAGACAGAGCGACGAAAGTTCGGAATCGCTCAGCTGCTGGCGGCGGGGACCTGGCCTGGCTTGGCCTGGCCCACCACACGCAACAATGATAACAAACAATCTGCGCGCAGGCGGGTACGTTTCGGAGGAAGACATAATCAGCGGGCCGCACTGTCATTACTGTGTGTGTGTGTGTGTGTGTGTGTGTGTGAGTGAGTGTGTGGGAGGCTGTGTGTGTGTGAGCACAGCGAGCGTCCTTGGCGGAACGAGACCCCCGCGGCTCGGCTCCGCGATTCCAGCATCCAGGCGAAACCTAACCCTACCTAACCTCTCGCCAACCGTAGTGCGTCTGTCTCACTCACGCGTCAAAACGAAGCGCTGCTCACTCGCACTCGTCGTCCGCGAGGCGCGGCGGGGAAGGCCCGGGTCGGGGGGAGGGGGAGGGGGAGGGGAGGCGCCCTTCACAAAAGCGCCGCGACCTCTTTCGCCGAACGGCCGAACGGCGACACGTCTTTTGTTGTAGGGCGTTGCTACCGGACACCTGTTGGCGGGGACCTCCCCGACGTGTGTGTGTGTGTGTGTGTGCGTGGGAGGAGAGAGAGGGAGCGGTTACTGAAGGTAAAGGATTGACTGGCAAGATGACGGTCGGGTCCGATTTCGGACGAGGTCGCGTCCTGATATAGATAGCATGACCTTGCCCCTTTTTAAGGGTCGACAGTGCGGAAGGGGAGGTGGGGGGGGGGGCGTAGGCCGCGGTCATGCACTCACGCACACACAGTTAGGCCTTGGCGTAAAAACGTTTGACACCGTCTCGAGTTTCTGTGTCGGTGTGACCAAGGTGTGACGTTCGAAGGTTCCGGAAGGCTCCTGTTTTGGCGCGCTACTTTTTTTTCCCCGCTCCTTCCGAGTGAATCCATTGTGGAAAAGGAGTCCGCTTGTCAGAACGCGCGGCCGATACTCTGTGCGAGTAGACAGGCCGCTCTGTCTCTCTCGCGCCCGCTCTCTCTCTCTCTCTCTCTCTCTCTCTCTCTCTCTCTCTCTCTCTCTCCCCGTCACATATCCGAGACAACCATTACCGGCGTTCCGCCGCATGTTAAACAGGCGGGGCCCGGCGGGGCCTAGGAAGTGCCGCCTGGTGTGGCGCCGCCGCGCAAGCGTGCGAGCGTCCGTCTGTCTGTCCGTCCGTCCGTCTGTCTGTCTGACTGCTCGTCCGTCCGTCGCACGCCCGGCGTAACGCGGCATGGCGCCCAAACGGCCCAAACACACAAGGACGAGACGCGACGCAGTATCCCTCGCTCTTCTTGAGCTGCTCGAACACAGAGCGTCCTGCGCGCACACGCACACGCGCACACACAAACACACACACACACACGCTCATCGCCTGGCCCCGTGAGTTGGAAAGAGACGGAGCGAGACCCCTGCGGAGTGGGCCGTGCCGCCGAGCAGGGCTGCCTCGCGGTGTTGCATATCCCGCCGTCCGCGGGCGCCGTGGAGCCTCGCAGTCGCAGCCCGCCGACGACAATGAGACACACACACTGACAGACGGACGGACAGACGGATGGACGGACGGACGGACAGACAGACAGACAGACCAGACAGACAGACAGACTGCGCTTTCTACGGCCTTCATCGAGCCGCCTGCCTCCTCGCCGCATTGTCCCATCTTGTCCATCTCTGGGGTTCACGACGGCCAATATTCATGAGCAGACAAACACATAAGAAGCCCGCACGCTCACACGCACGCACACATGCACACACGGGGTGCGGCGGGTTGCGTCCGTCATACGCAAGAGGCACGTTTTCCGTAAAGTAAAGACGGCGCTTTCATTTCTTTGTCCAGGCTGATGTCCGAGCGGCGTCGCTCCGTCTCTCTCGCACTCGCGGCGCGCGGCGCCGGGCCGACGGGGTGCGAGAGAGACAGAGCGAGCCGCGCGATAATGCGGCAGTGAGTCAAGCGGCGCGGCGATACCGCGTGGCCGGCAAGCACAGCCAGCACGTGGCGGTACACTGTCGCCTGCCTGCTTTTCGATTCCTCCTTCCTTTTTTATTTTTCCCGCTCTTTTCCACCGGGATTGCTCCGATAAAAACAAGCAAAGCAGGACATGGGCAGGGCGAGTGACGCCGTGACGTCACCGCGTCGGAACGACCACGTCTTTGAGCGTTCACAGTGTGGCGGCGCCGTGCCTACACCGGACAGGCAATCATGCAGGCAATCATCGCGCAGGCATTGGGGATCGGCGCGCGAAGTTTGGCCGACAGGTTTGCCTTGCAGTAGGCAGCCGAGTTCGCGGTTCGAAGCGAGATTGACGCGCGATCCCCTTGGCGGCTTGGCGGCTTGGCGGCGGCCCACCCATCGAGATCTCGAAGTGGTCCGACGTTCGATTAGTATCGAGTGATTGACAACGGACGGCGGCGCGGGGCGCCACGTGAGAGGCAAATCAACGGAACTTTTTTTTTCCCTTTCAATTTATTTTATTTTATTTTTTGCTGGAGTACTGGGCCGCCAACTCGCGGGGCGCGGGGCCGTTGCGCCGTTGCCCGCAATGCTGTCCGTACTGCCCCCGCCTCCCTCCGGCAGAGTAGTCCAATTCGATATTCGATTGTCCACTGAGTTCCAATCTCCGCAAACCGCACCGACTCCTTTTTATTCCGATTCCGGATCGAACCGGTCTCGCGATAATTACTTCGTTTGTTGTCAGTATTGTTTTTTTTTTTTTAAATAAAAGTTTCCATGTTTTTTCCTCTTTACTCTCGTGACGTGTTTCGCGTTATTTATATTTAATTTGTCAGTCACCGCGCGAGGCTTACGTGGTATTTATTTTGGCGCGCTCGCGGGCAGGCGGGCAGGCAGGCAGGCAGGCGAGCAGGCAGGACCGCGCGCGCGCGGCTCGAGTTTGCCAAAACGGTTTTGGATTTCCCCGCGCGCGGCAAAATGGTCGTTTTAGGTGTCGAGGAAAACAGAGTGGTCGACCGACTGTGTGCGAGACGAGACGAACCGCTTTTCGACAAGCGATTGAACCGAGAGACGGATCGATGTTTACTCGGCAACGCGTCCATTGCGCCGAGCGGTCCGAGCGCGCCGAGCGGCCGGAGTATTCCGCTCACTTGATTTATGGGTCGCAGCAGGGCGGTACGTACTTTCCGAGAAATCTGTCGCGGCGGACGCGTACTCGAGGAAAATTTGCTAACGGCTGCTCGATGTCCAAGTCGTCCGCCCCGCGTCCGCCGCCAGCAAGGCGTCGACAGGCGCACTGCAAGCGCCGGGCTTTTTTTTTTTTTTAGAGTGTTTGTCCGTCTGTCCGTGACTCCCATAGTCAAACATGAACCGAGCGGAGCGGGGCTCATCACCTGTGCACTGTATAGTCCAGCCGTGGACGTGTCGGCGAGTCCTCGGCGAGTCGGCAAGGCCGTGTTAAAGGTCTGGCGAAAGCCGCGGCACAGCCACCACACTGCACATCGACACCTCCGTAATTCGTTTTTTGTTTTTCGAATTTCAGGTACGGTGAGAAGCAGCGCAAAGCCGAGGCCGAGCTGACGGGCATCCAGCTGCTGTCCGCCACCGCGTACCAGCTCAAGAAGCCCTACCAGCAGCTCCTCATCCCCATCACCGTCTGGATCGGCATGGAGCAGGCTTTCATCGGCGCCGACTTCACCCAGGTCAGCCTCCACTTTTAGATCTTGGACCCCAGTCACCTGGGTAGCCCACGGGTCAAACGCCGAGAAAATGGGCATTTTGCAACGAAACAAAAAGTCGCTTTGCGAGAGTGGGATCTAACGGTGTAGTGCCACGCCACGCTACCGATGCACGCTTTTCGTTTCGTTTTGCTCGCGGGCCGCGGGCCGTGAGCGTTGCCGGATATGGCCCTGCGTCGCTCTGCGTCCGTGTGTCCGCTTCGGCAGTACTTGCTGGGGTCACCTCAAAGAGCCTGGCCCGGCTCGCTGGTCAGGAATCCAGGCACCAGGCACCAACCAGGCTCAGGCCGCGCGAGTTGAGTGGCTTTGGCCCGCCCCGCCCCGCCCCGCCCCGCCCCGCTCGCACACCACACGCATCCAAGTCGCTTGATTGTGCGGTCTCAGACAAGCGGGCCAATTTGGCAGGCCCTGCTCGGCCCGGCGAAACAAAGCAGCCTCGCAGCTTCCTAGCGCGGAGCGACGGAGAGCGACAGAGTCGGTAGGCAGTCATCTCGCTCGGTCCATTCAGACAGCACCGCGTCGCTCTGTCTCTCTCGCACTCGCGGGGCGCCACGTGGGAGTGCGAGAGAGACAGAGGCGAGCAGTCTCTGCCTCTCCGGGTAAAACAAGGGATAATTAAAACGCGCCACTCCATCGGCCCCGCCCGCTAGAGTTAGTTTTTAACGACCGTCCGACTGGTTTTCGCGCCTCGGCTCGCTCTAGCCTCGCGCTAGCCCCCAACCGGCATCGGCGTCAATGAATCAGCAGGGAACGAGAATTGGGATCGGCGACATGGCGCGGATAGAGGCACACAGCGAGCAAAATTTCGCCAAAACGGGAAACGGTGAAAGTCCTAAATCTCCAAGTTAAAAAAAATTAAAACAGCTTCGGTTTCGAAGTTGTTGTTTGCTCAACGTAGTGTAGGCAGGCATCACGTGCCGGCAAGTGCCGTGCGGTGGCGGCGACGTCGCGGAGGCACGGCGGAGACGTCCCCGGGCACGCGGCGCGGCGCGGCAGGGCCTGGTCGGCGTGCATGTGGTGAATGGAAGTCATTAGCTTCGTTTGCCCCCCTGGTCCCCCTGTAGACTGACTCCGGGAGTCGTTTTCGTCGCTCCGTCTCTCCCGCACCCATACGGGGCGCACCCATGAGTGCGAGAGAGACAGAGCGACGAAAACGACTCACGGAATCAGTCTGCTGGTCCCCTTCCCCCCGTCGCGTCGTCGTCGACAGTAATCTCCAGTCTCGGCAAAGGTCCGCGGCGCCGGTCTCGGTTCTTCACACCTCCCCCCCCCCTTTCCTTTGCCGCTTCGCACTCGTCCGTAATTGTGTGTCTCATAATCGGGGCTTTATTAACCCCCTCCTCGCGTCCCCAACGAGCCGCGCTCGCTTCCGGACAACGCCACCGTGTTTTCGAAAACACTCAGCGCGCTCCGTTGTTGCGAAGGCTACCGCCGCAAAATAAAATGGCGGCTGATTTTGGCGCGAAAAGTGGATGGATTTGGAACCGGAGATGCGGCGGTGCGGCGGTGGGGTTGCACGGGCCGTGAGCTGTGATCGCCTCGCCGCCATGCCCATCCGATGCCCATCCGGCCCGGAGCGGCGGCAGCTTCGCGCAGCTTCGCGGCTTCTGCAGGGACCGATTCCGAACACTCGCTTTCGTCGCTCTGTCTCCCTCGCACTCGCGGCGGGCCGGCAGGCGTTTCGTGTGGGAGCGAGCGAGACAGAGCGGCGAGAACACTGTGCAGAATCGGTCCACCGAGGCCCGCGGCCCGGTGGCGCGGCGTGGCGCGTTTGTGTTTGCCACGTCAAGGCGGCGCTGATGCGTGAAATCCTGCCGCCCGCTCCGCCCGCCCCGCCCCGCCCCGCTCCGTGAGGCCGCGGCGGCAGCGGCCGTGTCACCGACAAGCACACGGCAGCGGCGGACCGCGCATTGTTGTTGTCGCTGTTGTTGTTTTCATTTGAACGAAACATTTAATCAACGAGGAGGGATCTCGGCGCGCGTGCTCGCACACTGGAAACTGAAACTTTTCTGCTGTCTGTCGCAGGCCTACGTGTCGTGCGCCCTGGGCATCCACAACGTGGGCTACGTCATGATCTGCTTCGGCGTGGTGAACGCCATGTGCTCGCTGCTGTTCGGCTCGCTCATGAAGTTCGTGGGCCGGTCGCCGCTCATGGCGCTGGGCGCCGTGGTGCACGCCGTGCTCATCGGGGTGCTGCTCATGTGGCGGCCGCACCCGGACTCGCCGCTCGTCTTCTTCGCCATCTCCGGGCTGTGGGGCGTGGGGGACGCCGTCTGGCAGACGCAAGTCAACGGTGAGTACTTGGGGTACTCGGGCACGCCTCGGGCGTTCCCAACGGGTGCGAGAGAGACAGAGGAACCAGTCTGCAGGGCGGCAAGGCAGGGCGCCGCGGCCCCTGACGGGCCCCTGACGGCGGAGAAGGTAGGCAGTCCCGTTGCACGGCGGTGTCGGCGGGACTGCATCCCTGCTGGCCGCAGGGGCTTGCTGGTCGCTGCCCCGCATCGGCAGTGATTCCCTGCGGCGCGGCCGTCTCCCCCCTGTCTCTCTCGCACCCCTGTGGGACGTCCCGTGAGTGCGAGAGAGACAGACAGACCGACGGCCGCACTGCGCGGAATCGGGGGATCCTCCCCGACGGCCCGCCTGGCTGCGCCTGGCCCGGAGCGACGCTTTGCGCGACGCCGCCGTGGCGACGCCGTCGTGGTCGTGCATGTCTCGAGGCCTCAAGGACGGCCTGTCTCCGTGGGAATGGTGGGCCGCATCACGGCATCACGCCTGACGCGCCGCCTCGGCTGCTAATCGCTCGGCTCCAGGCCTCCAGGCCGCCAGGCCGCCAGTGCGAAATCAAGTTGGAAGTAAGAACGTCCCTGATGTGTGTCTGAATGTTGCAGGCCTGTACGGAACGCTGTTCCGGAGGAACAAGGAGGCCGCCTTCAGTAACTTCCGCCTGTGGGAGTCGGCCGGCTTCGTGGTGGCCTACGCCTACAGCACGCACCTGTGCGCGCGCATGAAGCTCTACGTGATGCTGTGCGTGCTGCTGCTCGGCGTCACCGGCTACATCATCGTCGAGTTCCTGCACATGCGCAAGAAGAGGCGCATGAAGCGGCTCGCCGAGGACCCCAAGGCCGCCGCCAAGGAGGCCGCGGCCGCGGCCGAGGCCAGCAAGGCCGCGGGCAGCCCGCCCCCCATCGAGGAGACGGACGACGAGCAGGACGAGGCCGACGACGACATCATCGTCACCCACCTCTAGGCCGTGTCGCGCCTAGTGCGCACACCTGCCGCCAGAGCGCGCCAGCGGTGTGTGTGTGTTTGTGTGTGTGTGTTGGGGAGCTTCGGAAACGCGATGAGAGACACTGACCAGTGCGAGTCCGACCGTCTTCTGTCGCCCCCAAGATAGTCATGGAAGTGTTACTGCCCCCGGGCGAGCCCCGGCAAGCCCACGGGGAGGAGACAATGTCTGTCCGGCACTGTACAGCCAGCACACGCGAAATTGTGTTGCCATAATAACATCACTGAATGTATCATGATAATGAATCAATCCGGAGGTCGAGCGCGCTGCCCGGCTCTGCCCTTCGCCAAGGTCACGCCAAGGTCATGTCAAGGTCATGCCAAGGTCGCGAAGGGCCGGAGCAGCGGGGACGCGGCGGGTGTCGCATGGAGCCGCTCCCGCCCCCGCTGCTCCGCGAGCCGGGCAGCCGGATAGCCGGATGTGGTCGAGAATTAAAAGTGGATTCGGAGCACGAGTGTGTGTGCGTAGTCCCGGTGAGCCAGGCCAGCCCGCCTGTGTGAATGTATGTATGTGTGCGTGAGTGTGTGAGTGTATATGTGTGTGTGTACGTAGTCTCATTTTTTTTTGTGCTAGTGAACGGCGAGAGGAGCTTGTACACATTGTTAATAATATTCATTCTTAATTTTACGTTGCAGTATAAGTATGCGATTCGATGATTGCGAACGGTTGAGAGGGGTCATGGAGGGGCCATGGAGGGGCCATGGAGGGGCCCGGGGCTCTGCGCGAGGAGGCTGGTCCTCCCCCGCGCGCGTCGCGGCCCCGCCCCGCCCCGCCTCGCCCCGCCATGCCCCGCCACGTCGCCCCGAACTGCCTCGCGTAGGTAGCGCCTTCCTTCCTGTAAATATGCATCACATTCGAAGGAAGGCTCTCGCCAGGCAGTCCCCACGCAGTGGCACACAGTGGCAAACAGTCCCCAAAAGCCCCGACATCACCGCGTCGCGCTCGTACCCCTTTGCCCGCCTGGCCCTGCCTTGCCCACTTCCGGCGGCGGGCCGTCCACACCGGAAGTGGAGAGGCTCTGAAAAACGGCGAACCGGAAGTGGCCGCGACGCCCGAAATTGGCGGTCGCTGGCTGCAAGCGTTGCAAGGGAGGAGACGCGCTGGGCGCTCGGCAGCCCTCGGGCAGCCCCGTTCCCGTTTCGGACGAGTGTCCTGCCCTCTGCCCTCCCCGTCCTGGCGCCCTGGCGCCCTGGCCCTGGCGTCCTGGCCCTGGGTCGGTCCCGCGACGGCGCGACGCATGCGCGTGTGTGCGACCAGCACACGGCCAGCACACGGCCAGCACACGGCCAGCACACGGCACACGGCTCCAGCGAAAGTTGAAAGTGTTGGCGACCGCTTCGCCTCGCGGCCGCTCCTGCTCGCGGCGCCTTGCCTCGCGGCCTCACCCCTCACACCGCCTCGCGATAGCGTAGCTCAGCCTCGCGATGCCTCGCCGCGGGACGGGCTTGGGTCAGGCCGGTCAGGGCCTTGTAGACCGATTCCGAGAGTCGTTTTCGTCGCGCTGTCTCTCTCGCACCTGGACGGGACGCCCGTTGAGTGCGAGAGAAAGAGCGACGAAAACGACTCTCGCAATCAGCACTGGGGCGGTGACGATTCGCCAGCGCCCTCGTCCTCGCGCGCAATGGTACAAACTGTGAGATGGAATCGGAATGAAATCAAATCAAGTTGCAACTTGCGGGTCCATGTAAATAGACATTGTTGAACAAATTTGTAGTTTGAAGCCGCAGAGATAAGAGCCGGTAAGCCGGTAGACGCTGCGGAGAGGCTCAGGCATGGCTCAGGCATGGCTCAGGCCTGCAGGCCGGCACAGGCGCTGTCGTCTGATAAGGCGCGCTTAGCATGTCGCGCAGGCCTGCCAACCTGTCAGCCTGCCTTCGCATCAATATTGTTGTTTTCTCTTAGTTTGGTCACAATATTTATGGTTTTGCCAAGTGTATTTTTAAAATATGTTCGTCGATATAATGCCTTAATTTCTTTCATTGTATTATTATCTTTTAATTTCTTTTTGTTTGTAGAATAGCTAAGGAGACCATTTTTTAGTCTCTGGTACAAAGTCACCCAATTCCGATGCGCAATGACGTTTCATAATTTCACTATGTTTGATCTTTTATTAATTCCTACTTCAAGCAGTTACGTTACTGATATGAGAGAATGGATTTCCCTGTTTTATTCAGATTGTAAAGCGATTTGTTAAAACAGTGCTAATGTAAAAAAGACAAGATCTCGATATTTACACAATTGAAATGTTAATAAAAACCAACATTGTGTGTGTCACTCCCGTTCTTATTTCATTTCCTTCCTCCCTGGCTCAATGCACCCAGTGTGCCCAGTGTACGCACCACGAGCTCGTCAGTCAGTACAACCATGAATGTCCTCTCCAAGTCCGAGGCGACGTGGTGGAAATAGCAGCGTCCGCCGGCCGGCCGAACCTTGAGCGCCCGCAAAGACGCGGGTAGGCAACCCCCCGCGCACCCGTGCGTGCGTCGACGGCACCGACGGACATTGCCTACCTCACAGGCGCCTCGCTCTTGCCTTGCCAGCCTTGGAGCCTTTCGCGTAGAGGTAGACTTGCACACACCTGCTGCGAAACTCGATTGATGCTTGCTATGGACGCAGACTTACACTCTGAACGAGAAATTCTACCGCGTATTGGAGTGGCGAAAGCAAACATTCAGTCCATTCAGACGTCGCGAAGCCCTGGAGGCTGGGTTTGAACCTTGAACCCGTTCCGAGTACAATCTCTCATTTAAGAACTCTCTGCGCGGATAAGCTTGTTGTCTTAAACATTTCTTTTCATTTTACCGCGAGTTCCTCCCCCAGTGCGATTCAAACCTGTCTCCGGACACTACCGTTTCTCCTGCTTTCCCGCGCTTCATTTCGTATTTCTGACAAATGAGAATCCTTGTGCTGGCGCATGCGCAGTGCGCATAGTAGCAGCAGCAGCTTTAGCAGACTTTGTAGTTGTAAACGATTGTAATTATAGTGTCTGTTTACATCTAGCTTTCGCGAGTGTCACTCACATTCTCGATTGATGTAAGGTACTAAAATGTATTTTCCAGCTTTCTCACCGAGGCATTTTCTGAGAGGGCTGTGTTTACTCTGTCACAATGTGTTTGTTTTCTTCTTATAGGTTATGGGTACCCAGTTTGAAAGCAATGCATCTGTCACTAAGGCCATTTTGCTGCATTTGCGCTTCTTCTCAACAAGATGCATCCCTTACAAGAATATCAAGTGAAAAAGGGCTGCGTGAAAATTTAGAAACCTTGTTAGACCAGTATATTGTTCCTGTTTTGGTGAGTGAGCACATAATCTCCACCTACGTAGTATCAGAATTCACTCTAGTTACGGTATTAATTTTGAAAACCACTCTTCACTCTCAGCTTCTCTCCAAAGATGACAAGTTATGTGTATGTGATACATGTAAAACAAGATTATTTGAGTGGGATATTTTCATTAATACATGCAAGATCGCTCAGAAAAGATTTAAAGATTCTTTAGCAACATGTAACCATACTGTAAGTTATATTCGAATTTCTCTATATCTATCCTTTTGGGCTTAAATTATTTTCATCTGAAACATAACTTCTTTATCCAGGATCTTCCAACCTGTGCAAAAACACTAAGTGCGAGTGAAAATGCTGTGTCATTAGTAACAGAAGCCAGCCCTCCCCATAAGAAGAAATCATCTAATTATTGTATTGCTCAGTGGTGTAACCAAGGAAATTACCAAGGTGTATCTCTCTTCCGTCTTCCGAAAGAAAGAGAACGGTAAATTCCACTTACTTGGCCCAAGGTATAGCATTGTACACTTCAAAATTTATGAACTTTTCTTTTTTACCTGTATATTTCAGAGCTTTGTTATGGCTGACAGAAGCGGGTAGATCTGATTTGAAAAGTTTGAAAAATCTAAGATCATTATATTTGTGTGGAAATCATTTCACCCGTAACATGTTCACTAATAATGCTCGCAATCAGCTCGTGAAAACAGCTGTGCCCAAAATATTCCCTAAGCCAAACTATGCTGATAAGATTGCTCTTAAAGGAGGTTGGTGTTTCTGTGCTTTCTTACTAAACATGGGTGAAAATCTTTTTTAACCATCCAGAATTTTATTTTATGCAGCTGCCTCACAAATCTACCCATCACAATTTAAAGGTGTTCAGCTGAAGAGCATCCTACCCAAAGTTGGTTTGTCAAATAGGTAAGTGTCCAGCTTCTTTTAAAAAATATATAGAAGTAGTGGTTACATGTAACACGAGCTACTTGATTTATTTTTATCTTTTTGGTAGTGTGTCACCAACTACTTACAGGAAGGTTGCAATGAAAGCCGTACCAAAGCCAAAGGCTGGAAATTCATTACATCCAATTGTGATGTGTCTATCCTCTCAAACTGCAGAAGAAACATTGTCTGTAGGTGATAATCAAAATTCATGTCTGCTCTTCGGAAGTCCATCCCAATCCTCAACCTCACATGAGAGTATCATTCCTATTGTTAATTCTTCACTGCCACTCACTGGCATTGATGCAGTCTCCCAAAATGATAACTTTGCAATTTTATCACCTTCAAGTACTTGTGTAAAAGATCCATATAATACCAACACACTTTACAGTGTTGTGAAGCCTTCAAATTCAATGAAAACAGGCTCTGCTGTTCTTGAGTCAAGCTCAAGTCCTGGTGAGACTACTGCTCTGATGACAAAGGTGAGATCCTCCAATGCAGGAAGGAAAGAACAAAAACAATACCTTGAAGAGCTAGAATCATGCTTTGCCTCTGACACTTTCAATTCAAGTGCTCTCATGGATGTTCAAGAATTTAAAAATACTAGTTTGCCTCTTCCTAAGCAGGTGTATCAGAATTCTAGCTCAGAAATTTGCCAACTTCAATCTCTTAGTCAAACTGACACTTATAAATCGATTGCTGGTTCACAAGATTTTCTATTGCCTCACATCTCAGAAAACATTGCCACATCTTATTCTGAGAGTTCTGTTCATGCATCTGATGAGAGTACTCATTCAGTTTCCAGGGAACCTAATCCCATTCTTAATCCCAATAATGAACTAAACTCTCCTCACATAGGTATTTTTGACCTACCTTCAGATGATATTCAAGGAACAGAAAGTTCTTTCATTAACACTATGGAGAATCTAGATGAGCTCATGGACTTAGATAAGTACTTTGAAGGGCGATAATAAGAATAATTTTACCATGTACCCTTTTTTTTAAAAACCAAATTAATCTCATAAATTAGTGTATTTCAATAATACTTTTCTTTGGTTCTAGTAAGAAAATAAAAGTCATGTTAGTGCAGAGAGTTCCTTATTTATTTGGTCCAATTACAGTTTCAAAGAAACTGAAACAAATATCACATACATAACACACAACTCTTTGTAAAAAGAAATATATAAACTAATAAATAATAACAACAAATAGTTTCATTTATACATGTTCAAGTTGCATAATAACTAACCAAATATCATTTTTGAAATTTCATTATCTAGAGCCAAATCATCCATAGTATCTCCCTCCATAATTATCTCCTCTTCTTCAACGTGGGTGCGATGTGTTTTAGTGTGTTTGATCATGTCGCCTTTCTGAGCAAAGGCTCGGCCACACTGTGAACAAAGCCATGGTTTTTCTCCGGTATGTGTTTTTTTGTGAACTATTAAGGACTGTAGTCTCTTGAAACTACGTTGACAATAGGAACAAGCAAAAGGAAAATCATCTCGATGAAGAGATGCAATATGCTGCTTCAGTGTCCCTGAGCTACGGAAAGATTTTTTGCACATTTCACATTCAAATGGGCGCTCTCCAGTGTGGACCCTCATATGAACTCTGTAGGGATCTAGAGCAATAAACTTTTTCCCACATATTTCACAGTCAAATGGATATTTATCACCTGTATGCTTTGCAATGTGGTACTTCAAGGTCAATTTTGATTGAAATCTTTTCCCACAAGCACCACATTCATAAGGTGTTACAACAGGTGCAGCTGGTTTATCAATATGCTTCTTCTTGTGTTGATTTAAATTACCTAGTCGATTGAAGGAAGCAGTACACATATCACACTTATAGGGTTTGTCATTTGTATGACTTAACATATGTTGTCTCACTAATCCTTTTGAATGGAATTTTCTACCACACTCTGGACAGTTGTGAACTTTTTCTCTAGAATGAGTAATAGAATGAGAACGGAGTTCAGAGGGTCCCTTAAAAGATTTCCCACATTCTGAGCAAGTAAAAGGTCTGTCATCAGAGTGGGTGCGCATATGCACGCGTAAACTATTGAGATTTGCAAGAGTTTTTCCGCATAGTGAACAAAGAACTGTTTTTTCTCCTGTGTGAGTGGCTTTATGCTTCCTTAAAGCAATAACATTCCTAAATTCTTTGCCACATAGCTCACATTTGCAGCTTTTTGAATCATCACAGTTCTCCTTAAAAACTAGGGTGTCACTATGCTCATCACTTAAATGCGTATCAAGATCATTTTTATCATTAAAAGTTAATTTGCATAGACCACATTCAAAAGTTCCTAGAACATGAGAGAACATGTGATTTTTCAGGCAGCTTCCACTAGTAAATACGTCGTCACAAATTGTACACTGATAAGCACTAGTAACATCATCTGGTACAAAGACAGAACCATCCTCAAGCTTTATAGAATGGTAGTTAACACAATGAGAAACAAGTTCAGCTTGTTCATTAAACACCTGCTGGCATACACCACATTTAATTTGATGAGTTTCATTAAAGCCTAAACTTTCCTCTTCAACATGAATATTGAAGTTCACTGCATCAATAGAAATATGCTCAGTAGAATCCAAGTTGGAAATTGGAACTTCCTTCATACCTAATCTGAAAGATGCTCCCTCACCAGAGTAATTTGTACTGATACTGTTGCCTATATCCTCCTGAAAGAACAAAACAAATATTATTAATTATTATTATTATTATATTCAGCTTCAAATTTGATTTTGGCACTTTGGGTGTCTTTACCAGTTCTTCTTGTGGATTCTCAGTCACTGTTTGTAAAATGATTGGGAGACCACTCTCGCCTTGCAGAGTAATTGTTCCATCCCTCACAACAGTTGTTTCACCAAAATTACACAACTCCACCATTTGACGTAGACGAGTGTCAGCTGCTTTGAATGAATCAATAATTTGAGAGCAGCTCTGTACTCGCTCAACACAACTGGTACAAACACGCTGAGGTAGGCCATCATCCATTAGCACCTGAAATGTGCAAAATGATTGATATGACATCATTTTACATTAAAATGTTATTGCAAAAATTGTAAATCTTCCATACTTGGCCAGGAATTATCCGATTAAGCATATTTCTCAAACTGATGTCAGAATCATCGCCAAAGACTGGAACCAGCATACTGAGCTGGACAAGAGCAGCACAAAGACGACAAAGCATCAGGCATTCCATGACCATCTCATTTGATTCAGGGGTCTCTTCTGTAGCAAAACACACTGTGTTTTCCGACAAAGTCTGAAACACTTTTTGATGAGTACAAGATGATGGGTAGTAAATTGACAATTTCAAACTTGAATATAAAATATCACCTGAGAGGGAGAATTTAATGTGTCACACATGAGATTTCCATCGTCACCTAAACTGACGGCCACTATGTTGGTCCATTCTGCTGTGTCCAATACATCGTCGGTAACAACAGCAGAATTAAGAATTTCTTGAGCTGATTCAACTTCAGCAAGCACAGTTCCAGCCAAAGTATCTGCAATTCAATAATTGTTAATGCAAGAATAAATTTTAATAAATGTTTCATGCATTTTACTTACTTTGACTGTCTCGAAAGGTTTTATCGCCATCCATATTGACTAGTGATACGAGGTTATTTTTGAAAATGGTAGGAACTATGTTGACTCCTCTCTTTAGAGCCACTTTCTTCACTGGATCGTCAAAACAATGCGGCTCAAAGTGATCTGCACAAATATAATATTTTCCTGACAGAATGGAGCTGTTTTTATCTTTCAAATCCAGGCGCCCAGCATTCTCAATCCATTTTAAACGACTGCAAAGGAATAAGGCAAAATTTTTTTAAGAAGATGCATTAATTCATATTTCTGCTGAAACAAAACTAGCAGACAGAATTGTTTGACAACTCTGTTGGAGGAGAACTAACCTCTCTGAGTCACTAGGTAGGTTGAAGAATGCTGGTGAGCAGGGTGACGGTTGATAATTATAACAGGATTTCGCGATGCAAAATATTCGTGAATGTGGCATGATGGTCTCAGAGGCAATTCATAGTAGAAAACATCAAATATCGAAGGAATCAGCTTTTCACCATGCAACGCGACTGGCACCACATTCAAACAGACACTCGAGGGAGCGGTGACGCAGTCACCGTGGAGAGCCGGAATCCCCCCATGGCGCGCGCCGTGCGACCACACACTACCACACACTGATGCTCCGAGGCTGGCTTGCATACTTGCCAGACGTCCAGGTTAGTGGTGCGTCTAACAAGCTGCCTTGGCTTCACAACTGCAACCGCTCCGCCACGCATTCGACGTATCCAAAGGCAAACGCGGGAAGATGTGCCTCACTAAAAAAGGGTAGGAATTCCCCGGGCGTTGGCCTCTCCTCCACAGAGGATTTTGGCTCCCAGACTCCGCGCAGTCGGCGCGCCCCCGTGCCCGTGATGACAGCTGAAGTCGACTCGACAAGCACTGCCCGCGACGCTCAAACCCGGCCGGGGAAGCGCCACGGGTTCATTAAACACCTATAGGCTTCTATTGCACTCAAAAGTAGTATTCTGCATCGAGTTTTCTGGTCTCTCTCGGAGAGCTGAACAAAAATAATTAAAAAAAGGGATAAAAACAGAGAAATTATAATAAAATTTGATTTGGAAACTAGAAGCCCTCTATTATAGCCTCTGGGACGAGAACCGAATGGAAAGAATCGGACGCTTTTCTAAAAACTTGAGAGGTGACTCGATTTGCCGCTCGGGCCTTGTCTTCCCCGGCGGCGCGAGTAGCCGCCAGTGGCCCGCTGTCTTTCGGACGCTTTGGCCGGCCAGCTTCTTATCAGTGTATCGCCTCGGCTGCCTTGGCCCGGCGAGGCCCTCGTCTTACCACACCGTTCCCTCTTCAGCCTGCTGTAGGCCTGCTGCAGCAACGAGAGGACGGCGGGGAAGGGAGGGACGCGATGACCACTGAGTGCGTCTAGAGTATCTCCGAGCGCGGACGCGGAGGGACGCCGTCGACGCCGCGGCGCGCAGCTATGACGTAGCTGCGATCGCTGCCATGGACGTGCTCTCGTGGAAAGAATTCGTTGCCGGGTGGGCCGGAGGTAAATCGACAGAGCAGTACTTGTTGCGGGTCTAGGTGGAAAACCGTCGCCAGAGTTGTCACAGCGCTTATCTCCCTCGGAGACACTACGCGCGCGGACCCGTCCGTCCCAGCAGACGACGCGCACGTGCCCCCTCCCCTCCCCATTTACATGAGTGTCGCCTGAGCCCTCGGTGTCAATGCCTCTTCCCATTTCAGGCAACCCACTGTAGGGGAGGCCATCAAATTTAATCACTTTTTCTTGGGCCAGGTGTTGCTGGCCTCGGCGTCGGGCACCCCGCCGACACCATCAAGGTCCGGCAACAGGCGTTCACGGAGAGGATAGGGGTCTTGAAAACGCTCCGCACGACCCTCAAATATGAAGGGGTGAGTCTCGGTCCTTGGCGACGAAGCCATGACGAAGCTATGGCCGTGTGTCCCTAAATGAAGCAAATGAACCTACTCTCCGCAGGTGCGAGGGCTGTACAAAGGGATGCTTTTCCCCCTGCTCTCATCGGGGGCTCTCAATGCCCTGTTCTTTGGTGTCTACGCCAACACCCTAAGATTTATCGAGCAGAAGCGAGCCCCGGGCGTTGAGCGCAGAAACAACTGGGGTGATGACCCATCCACAAAAAGTGGCCATCCCAATAGGTCGACTCTCGATGTTTTTGCCGCGGGCTGTGTTGGAGGGCTGTTCGCTTGCACGCTCGCGTGTCCCATCGACTTGATAAAAATCCAAATGCAATCTCAGACAGGTGAGGCTGAAGCCAGTGCAGGAGGGATGAGCTCTTGCAGCCCGCGCTAGACTAGAGCCTTTCCATTGTACAACAGGTGTCGCCTCGAGCAAGGAGTGGGGACACCACGTCGAGCCGAAGCACAAGGGGATGCTCGACTGCATTCGAAGGCTGTGCCATAAACGAGGGGTCAGGGGCCTCTATACTGGGATGTGTCCCATGCTGCTCCGGTGAGTACCCTGGTGCGCAGTCCTGCGGTGGGTCGGGCCATGGTCGGGCCACAGCCACAGCCAGCCTCTGCCAACGGAGCAAAAGCGCGCGGAAGCATCAGCCAATAGCGACACGCGCGGCCTGCCCAGGGCCTGCCCATGCAGGCATGATGCAGGCAGTGGGGAAGGCCACTGTTGGTTGGCGCTGGAGGGACACACCCCGATCCCTGCAGGCGCTCGCACTCCTCTCACTGCTTGCTACCACAGATGTAGGAATACTTGATTGATTCTTAGTGCCAAGTTTGAAAATCGTCCATGTCTTTTGATTCAAGTGACGTAGTATCGTATGGCGTGTACATGACCGTATACGAAACGGGTTTGCAAAACTTGCATTGGAACCCTGTAGTTTCCACGCTGGTCAGTGGAGGATGTGCAGGTATGTAAATGGGCGAAGTTACTGACAGTATTGTCTTTTTGTTTCTGAATTTAATTGCTTACTGTGATGTGTAGGAGTTGTTTCATGGGGTGTAATCATCCCTATAGACCTTGTAAAGTCAAGGATACAAGCGGATGATATCAAGAAACCTATGTACAGAGGAGTAGTAGACTGCGTGAAGAAGAGCTACCAAGCACACGGACTACCAGTCTTTTTTCGTGGGTTTTCCATGATGATGGTCCGATCTTTTCCTGTTAACGCAGCAACATTTTTAGTGTATGAATCTACATTACACTTACTTAAGCCAGACATGGATTTATCAGATCTGGGACTGATTGATCCCTGATCCAAAACTAGTTTTGAATTGAAAGTAAAAATAAATCAGTTTTGTGACGGTTGAAAGTTAAAATGTGCATTACTTGACTTGTTTGACAATCACAAGAAGCAGAAATTGTTACAATGAATTGAATTGACTTTTATTTGGTGGGACCACAGTTACTCTGCAGTCTGGTCAGTTCATCACAAAATAACACTTTTTTAATATACTGTACAGAATGGAAGAAATTAGTTACAACTGTTTAAGGTATATTACAAGTGAATCAATTTATTCATAATTTACATTAAAGGTGACCAAGATACTGTTTTGTTCGCATTACTACATACAGTTTAATTGAATATTAGCATGAGACAATTTTTTGATTGTTTTAGAAAACAAGCAACACACCAAGCACAATTACAGGGGTATACACACAACTTCATTTTTACCTTTTTAAGGCACTTAACTTTCATGAAAGGAGACATTTTCTGGCACCCCAAAATTCATGTGAACATTATTGCAATAAAATAATGCCAAAACTTCCAACAATTCAGACTCTGATTGGTTTTTACATCTATGAATCAAGTGGCTACATGGTAATAAATATTTTAACTAACAACAATAGGAACAAGGCTACAGCCTTCCTAAAGTATGAAGATTTTTATGTTTCTTCATATCCTGCTTTTGTGCAAAGCCCCTTCCGCAAATATCACATTTATGTGGCTTCTCACCAGTATGAATTCGGATATGAACTTTAAGACCATTAGAACGCCTGAAAGCTTTCCCACAATAATTGCATGGATATGGTTTACGACCAGTATGTATCCATGTATGTTGATAGTAAGAATGTGAAGTCCGGAAAGATTTGTCACAATCTTTGCATTTGAATGGTCTTTCTCCCGTATGTTTTCTTTGATGAGAGTCTCTGACATCTTTCAATCGGAAAGTGGCACCACACTCAGAGCATGGGTAAGGTTTTTCCCCAGTATGGAGACGGAGATGAGAATAAAGGTGAGCACTTTGAACAAAGCGTTTGCCACACTCCCCACATTCATATGGTTTTTCCCCAGTGTGAATGCGGCGATGAAGAATAAGCGATCGCTTTTGAGTAAAGCCTTTGTTGCAAAATTCACAAACATGAGGCAGTTCACCTGCATGGCTCATTGCATGGTGCTTGAGAGCAACACGACCAGTGAATGCTTTATTACACTGTTCACATTTGTGAACTTTGTCTTTCTTTGATCCAAGTGGCAACATGACATCTTGGTGGTTGTTGCGGCGGTGAACCAAGAGCTTCGGTAAAGAATCAAATCCATCCTCCCCACATACTCGACATGTGTACACCCGAGGCTTTTTGTCAACATGAGTCCTCATATGGGCTGTAAGAAGGAACTTTCTTGTAAAGCAACGGCCACATTGTTCACACTGGAACATCTTTAGATCTGCATGAGCAGCTTCATGAATAGACAAACTAGATCTGTCAGGAAAAGTCTCAGAACAAGTTTCACATTGAAATGAGCCTTTAACATCATGGACACGCATGTGAGTCACAACTTGGGATCTTATTTGGAAAACTTTTTCACATTTGGGACACGAAAATGGTTTCTGACCTTTGTGGACAATTTGAATGTGATCCCATAAATTAGTTTCTTGCCTAAAGATTTGTCCACATTCCGAACAAGAAAGAGATGAAAACCCATTGATATTATGGGCAATTTCATGATGAAATTCTGCTCTTGGCTCTGAGGCGAACAATTTTCCACAATCACCACATCTGTATTGTTCTTCACTATTTGAGTTTAAAATCAAATCTAAATGAATAGTAAGGGTATCTTTTGAGTTAAAGACAAGGCCACAATGACCACAAGGGAAGCACTCACTTACTTGATGGCATTCACTATGTTGAAATAAATGAGCTTGACAAATAAAGTTTGCACCACAGAGAAAACAGGAATAGCATTCATCACTGATCTCACTTTCATTCAAGTCTTCAGCCTCTTCTGTGTAATTTTGATCAGACACCAGGAAGTCTTCATCTTCTTCCCACAGCACACTGTCAGCCAGGAAATCTTGCACTATGTCCTCATCGTCTTTGGCTTGCCTCCCTTCAATTTCTTCAATGTTGACATCATCTCGAGATTCCATGTTGCCTCCACAGCAAAGAGGGCAGTTGTAGCACTGAGATTCATGACCTTCTTCCTTGTCCACATTAACTTGTAAGTTTTCAGAACTACTTTTTGAATCTAATATATTTGCTACCCCACTTGGAAAATCTTCCTTGCACCTGTAAAATATTACAATAAGCTAAGCATTTGTTTGCTTTTTAATTTCAACATAGTTCAAGTTTAAGCAATGATTTTCTTTTAATTCTTTTTTAAATCATACAACACATACCTGAACCTCGGTACCATTTTTAATAAAATTTCTTCTGCTTTAACTGATGCCATGGCAAAAGCATAGCAAATGTTTAAGGTTGAAAGACATTCAGCACATATTTGCTTGGGTAGAAGATCATTACAATGTATCTGTAATCAAACCAAAATGAATTCTGAGCCACCTGAATAACATTGCATAACACTTCAATACTAAAATTTACTTACACTAATTGGCAGGGTAGAATTGATTTTATCAGGAAGCTTCTCTCCTTTACCTTCCTCTGAGAAAATGAAATGAGCAGTATCCACAGGCTGAGCACAAAGTCTGCACATGAGACCAGGGTGCTCTTCAAGTGAAATTGTCTTACTTAATATGTCAGTGCCATCCTCTTCAACATCAGCTTCTTCGTCCTCATCATCCTCTTCTTCAAGCTCCTCTAGTTCATCCTCTTGTAAATCTTCTTCATCAACCTCATCTTGAGTGGAAGCGTTTTCTGATGTTGTTTCATCTTTTCTCAAGACATGCTCTTCTTCAAGATCTGCTGCACATGATGCTAAAGGTAAGGAGTCCTCTGTATCTTGAATCTCATACCCTGTTGTTCCATTTGATTCATTGCAATTGTTCAGAGTAACATTTTCCAATTTGACTTCAGGCAACATCATTTCCTGAGCTAAAATGACAGAGGGGATAAAGACATTAGTACCATCTTCACACAGCTGCTAATGGAAATGGAATAACAAAATAACCGTAAAAGTTCACCTAAGATACTGAAATTGTTGTGATGATCTTCTATGACAGGAACTGCATTTTTCCGTAGACGTTTCCTAGAGCTTCCATTAATGAAGGATGAGTCTGGGAAGTGATCAGCACACACACCACACTCCAGATTTAATGAAACTGGAATGCGCCCCAGTAGATCATGTCTATTACAAGCCAGAAGCCAAGTGGAATACCTGCAATAAAATTGGATCAACATGAACAGCAGTGGTTAAAAAGAGGGTTGCCATTTCATAAGGAGTCCAAAAGAAATTACCTATCACTTTCTAGAGGAAATTTAAAAATTTCTTTTTTTGGATCAGTTAGTTTAGAAGTAGAACACCCTTCTACAACACACACAATGTTTGGCTTTTGTTGAACATCATCTTCTGATTGAACTGCAGATAAATTAAAGAAAAAGAGAACAATAAAACACATTAATAGATACAACATTTGAATGACAAAATTTAACTGACAAGTTAAAAATTAAGTTGACATAAGTAGTTTAATCAAACTAAAATAGCTTAAGTAAAATACCTCCAAGAAAAGATTCGTAGACATTCTGATCCTCCACAACTTGTTTGCCATCAAAGAACATCTGAGAAATTTCAAGTTCGATGCCTGATTCAACATGTATGCGCTCTCTAAGCATGCGATATGTTTCTTCAGGACGCACATCAACAGAGACAGTATTGCCATCTGTGGTGTTCAGAATAATTTTCATTTGAGACATTATTCTTGACTGAGTTGCATACCACACTAGTCAATACATAAACCACGAAAGTACCTGCAATAAGATTTAGAACATTGAGGTAAAAAACTGTAAACATAACCTAACCATCAATAACACAGTAGTATGATAAACAATCAGGTAAAGGAGATGAGCGTGTCTCTGACTGTATTTTTAATCAATCGGTTAGAATGAGGTCATTGTTTAGGAAATAGACAATGTTCAAAGCTATCAGTAGAACATTTAGTAGCATCGGCACTGACAATCAAAAATAAACCCAGAGCAGGTCAAGCACTTTAGAACTGGCGGGGAGCTACCAAAATAATTACAAAGCAGAGGTAGAATCTAAGGCATACGCACATTAGTTCACATTACAAAACACAGGACAGAAACCTAACTTTGGAGCAGTAAACTAAGGCGAAGGCGGGCGCGAACGTTGCAGTTTAGCAGTTCGCATTTGCATTTTTCTCTCTCTTTTTTTAGTTTTACTTAGTGTTGGTTTGTTATTGTTATTGCGATTCAAGAGCGAGGCTAGTTGAGTTTCTCATTTCTTGTAGCCTCACATGAGGTTGCTTGCATCCCTCCCCCTCCCCACTCCCCTGCGCCCGTTCGCAGTTCGCGTTCGCACTTCGCTCTCCGCCATTTTAAAATTGGAAAGATTATTGACGGAAAGCTTTTTACACAACTAGTTTCGGAGAATTTATTATCGATTAACTGTGATTCTTTGACATTACTTGTGACCCGTCTCGAATAAGGTAAGTTCGTAACTTTAGCAGCGATCCAAACTGTAAAAAAAAAAGAAATCACCGCTCGGCTTGAACCATTGAACCAAAGGTTATCTGATTTTCTATTTGTGCTCATATTCTGATTACTCTGGGCAATTTCCCCACAAGTTTCACTTTTTTGTATGATAACGCACTATATTGTTATGGTGTTGTGGGTTTACCGTTCTTGTGATATGGCGTTTCTTTCGCCCGGCTCTCCTGTCCTGTAAATGGTTTGATTTAGTTTCGCTATGTATTTATTAATGTCTGAATTCATTTTACAGTGGGTCTAACAATGTCTCACCGTGACTGGGACCTCACCTGCAAAGTCTACGTTGGAAATCTTGGCAGCAGTGCCTCGAAACATGAGCTAGAATCAGCTTTCACCAAGTACGGACCTTTGCGTAATGTCTGGGTAGCTAGGAATCCTCCTGGTTTTGCTTTCATTGAATTTGAAGACCCACGAGATGCTGAAGATGCTGTTAGAGGACTTGACGGAACGTAAGTTTCCCATTTCTCTACTGTTAAGTTACAATTACTGACCATTTTCATTTTCTTATTTCATGTTTTTTACTTCATTTCTAGGAGGATGTGTGGCACTCGTGTCAGAGTTGAAATGTCCAATGGTAGAAGCCGCAGCCGTGGTGGAGCTGGAGGGGGCAGCCGCCGGTTGGGAAGGTATTTTAATTGTTATTATTACAGGAAAAATAATACCCTCTTGAGTTCACTACTTTGTCTTGTTTTAATTAAATCCTGTAAACAAAGACTAATCAAGGATTAGTCTTCTAAGGATTCAGAAATCTGTTTCTAGAATTATTGAAGGGTATCTTAGTTCAGGAACCCTCTGACAAAATTATCTCTCCATGTATTGAGTAGCTCCTTTGAGATTTTATTCAGTTCAAACTTGGCTACTAAATATCATATTTATATCATATTTTTTATGAATAGAGTAATTTTTTTAAAAAGCATTTTGGACCATCTGGACTGGAGGATGAGGTTCAGCTGTGACTAAGATTTGTTTCCTCAATTTACAGCTACTTATCAACTTAAATACCTCTGTCTGTCCAAGGTTATCCTAAGTTCTCATTTTGGTCGGGTTTGGTGTCATTAAATTAATTTAATGATGCCTCTCAAACCCATAATCCTTCTCAATTGTCCTCATCTTATGCATTTTTGACATTTGTGACTTTTATCTGATAACGTGATTGAGTCAACACGCTATTTCTGCGAGTCTTAAATGAACTATGGCGGGTTTCCAGGGAATTACCACCAGACATCTCCCTGTTATTGCTACCAACATGACATCCCACGACGCTACACTCCGGTTGCTGTCAGCTGTTTGCTACACTTCACTCCACTCTGATATGAGTGCTTTGGGGTTGGACCTTGAAGTGATTCTCATTTACTAACTGATCAAAATTTTAAAATTTGTTAGTTTTGTGTAAAAGTTATACCAGAGTTTCAAACTGCCATTTGGCGGCTAAAATTCAAGGGCCAACCTCTCAGCATGATTCGGTGGCAAAGACCACGTATCAGACAGTCCTTCGGTCCACCTGTTCTTCGTTCTTCCCTCCATCGATTTTGGCTGTGGAAGGAAAGAATGGACTAGTCATCGCTGCGGCTACTCATCTCCACAACTACTCATCCTCCCTCGCGCCCGCCCGCCCAAGCGCCCGCCCGCCCGCCAGTCCATCTGCCCAACTATTACTGCCCCAGCGCACGCAGCGCCTCACGCGCCCCACGCACGCTCCACCTCGCCACGCACGCTCTCTCTTCGCTGGCAAAAGAGTCTGGTATTATGCTAAGTGAAGCTCTGAAGATAGTGCGTAGCCTGCGTCACTTGAACTGCGGTTCTTGCAAGTCAAGTACAACTTGTACTAATGTCAAAGTGAGAATGGATTTTGCCATTTATGGATTCGCCTTTGCCTTGCAATTTGTACCGCATCTCAAGTGATTCAAGTTGCATTGGTGGGAAGATAGATAAGTAATTTTCCTTTGTAGATGCTCACCTTCTGTGAGGTGCTACTATTTGATACGCTGGGGCAAATTTCTTGGACAAAATTTTTTAGTTGAGCCATAGTCTTTATCACTTATAAAAATTGAAAGAAATACTTAAAATTGGATTTCAGTCAATCCACATTATTTCTGTCAGTAATTATGAAGCAGCCAAGTTCTTACCGTCATAAAATAATTACTCTAGACTGACTGAACTTGTGCCTAATGAAATGTGTTCCCGAATCATTGTTCAAGTTTCTTCAAGCGCAGAATTGCAAAGACTTTCAAAGCAGCTGTTTTGAAAGAAAATTTTCAATTAAATCTGATCATTGTGTGAGGCTATGCTAATATCTTAATATACGGTTGATGGAGCCAGTGGGAAAATGCCCAGGTCCAGGCATTTCTATAGTTTCTGCTCATATTAGCAAGAAACCTTTTTCTATTTTACAATGTTTTTTTGTGAGCATTGACATGACTGGTGAAAGTTGAAACTATGCTTATTGCCATTAACTGATTGTTGTGTTTTTCAGGTCACGCTCCCGCTCTCCTCGTCGTCGCTCGTTGAGTCGCTCTCGATCCCGAAGCCGTTCACGTCGATCACGCTCTGGATCTCGCGACCGCCGGTATTAACAATCTCACGCTGGATGTGTTCCTTTTTGTTTCTTGTTAAGTGATGCAATGTGACCACTTCTCAGCGGTCACTGTCTACCAATTTTATTGAACGCTGTTTCTTGTTGTGTTGAGAACTTAATTAACATGTAGGAGAAGTTGTATTCTGACATGAATACAGAGAAATATAGCAAGAAATGTTATTATTGAAAGACAGATTTGGAGGGGAACATCATAACTTTACTTACAACTAAGTTAATCTTACCATATTTTTTACTTTTTTCTTCTTCATTTTCCTCATTTATCCTATAATATTACAGCTACCATTCCTATGTATTCTGTTTTTCTTTTTTTAATTATTATTTAAAAGCATATGTGTCTTTTAGAATTAAACAAAACGCCATGTGTTTGTTGCATGATTCCACTTTCATCATTTTTAAAATTAAATTATACTGTAATTTCAAGTTAAAGGGAAACAACACATTTCAAATGTGGCTTTGACACATTGCACTGAAATGTCTGGCCTGGTTGTTGACAAATTTGCTGACTGCTTTATGATAAGCTGTTTGAGAGTTTACAACTTGATCCATATTACACTTTTTTCTCATAGTAGTTTGTGGTAGTTTTTTTCTCATATTTATTAGTAGTGTAGTCAAGATGTTTGATCATTAAAATTGATGAATGAAATTTGCATGTGTGCTCTGGAATGTTTGATCGGGTTTGAATCTTGGATCAACCTACTAATTTGGCTTTAGTTCTGAGTTGTGTAAAGGAGTATTGTTCAGAGAAAAATAAATGAAAGTACTAGGTTTTATTGAAGTGTATCATAATTTTATCCTACCTATACCACACTCAGTTCCAAAAGATACACTTTATAAACAAAATAGAGAGCATACGAGGTGAGAACTTGCCTCCTACTCCCTCAGTTACATGATTTTTTACCGTGCCGACCTTACGGTAAATGCACTTTGCACATTTCTGCCATGTACCGTCATACGTTTTCCCAAGAAACCAAGAGGAGGTACAAGCAATAACAGATAGTGAACACATCGAAATGAAGGTTAAATTTTCAGTAGGGCAGGGAAGGTCGTGTCGCTCTTGAGGTTCAAACGTCACAACAGATGACCGCTAAAACAAATGAAGGGCGATGTCAGAGAGATCTCCGCATGATATATTGTACCCGATCGGTCGTATGTCGATAAGTAATCAATGTTTGAGCTAGCAAACCAATGCTCGCTATGGTGAAAACTTTCACCTTTCACTAATCAATTAGTAAGTCGATTTCGCTAGATAGTTTGCCGTATGTAACATTTAATGTGTCAATTGACAAGTGCAGAAGTGGCACCTGTTTATGATCAGCCTTGGCGTTTGTGTCTCTATTGTAGTTCTTTTGAAAAGTATTTTATGCCACTCCTTTCATAGATTTAAAAGTATGTAATCTTTACTTTGACATTACTGTCTACGTACATTTAGTAGTCTGCCATTCATTGTTGCATAACCTCACTTACTACTTGCAATGACAATGAAAAATAATCTTTTGACATTCCTCCCTAAGAGTGACAGCTCTTTGGCTCATAACAATTTTTCAGCGTTTCCTCCATAAATATTTGTTTTGAATTGTTTCTCAACTGACTTTGTTTTATCCTCTCTTTTTCAGAACCTCGGCTTTAAGTCTCTGGCGAGAAGTAGGTGTTAAGGAAGATGGAAAAGTTTGCAGTGGATTTGGACAAAGTTTTAGATGAATTAGAATTTAATGAAGGTTTGTTATAACATGCTCAAAATTTAAAAATATTTGTATTTCTTCCTTTTTACTCATCTTTCGTGTTTGGTTGTTTACCTATTTGTGTATGAAAAATGAGACAGTTCTTATGTCTCCAGATCGTGCAGAGAATTTGATGACAAGTGGAGGAAGACACCACATTTCCTCTGTATCTTCACTACCTCAAGTAAGGCTTGTATTTGTGAATAATGGATTCATGGATGTTTCAAATGGTTTTAAAAAATTTATCTCCCTTTTATCTTATCTGTAGGAGAACAGTGCTGCTCATGTGTCATTTGAATCTGGAGACAATGGAAGCAAATGGAGGCCCAAGCCAGTTCCAGTGTCTCAAAAGACAAGTGTCAGTGGAGTATTTTCAAGTCTTAATGAATATCTTAACTCTGGCCGGGCCAAATCAACACCCAGTGTGAGCGACAATAATCGTGGCGATCATTGCACAATAGATGAACCTAACATTGAAAATCCTGAGCTACCTGCTTGGTCCCCTCCCCAAAATGATGTCATCTCTCTTGAAGAAAAACCAGATTTGATTGATTCAACTGTTCTTTGTCCCAATGTATCAGTGGTTTCAAATGAGACAGCTGTCCTTGAAGAAAGACATAGTTCCCATTGTACATTTCTGCCTGATATTGCTACAGCTGGAACTATTGGGAATACAAGCACATATGAAGATGCAAGTTCATCCCTTGATTTGTTAAGTCATAAAAGTAGTACTGCAGTTGATGCGGATCTAGAGACCAGTAAAGAAGAAGAACCAGAATTTCAACCTACAAGCAGTGTTCTTAGTTTTGGCACACTAGATGTTAGCCAGGAAATTGATGATGATGAGTTGAGTGATTACTTGTCAGATTTGGAATTAGAGGAAAAGGAACACGAAGAGAATCTAAAGCAAGTGACTTATGCTGTTTTACCTTCACTTGTTAATGATAAAATTGAAATTGAATCAGACCAGCCAGAACTACCTATCAAAACAGACATCAGCAAGGAAAGCCAGCACGAAGATCTTTGCCTTCAATCAGATTCTGTGTTGCTGAATGAGCACTCCCTGAAAGTGGAAGTTGATTTGGAACCTGGCTCAAACCTCAATCCAACTGAAAGTACTGCTAAGACTTCTTCACTTACATCTGAAACATCCTCATCAGCAACCAAAAATTATGAGAATTTTTCTCCTGAACAGAAATTAGAAGAACCACTCAGTGGGACTGAGCCCTCACTTTCTGAATCAACCACAGAAACAACATTGGACGTGACCTCAGAACCTTCTTTGATTCAATCTGAACAGGCACCTGAAGAGAGAATTGAGATTCCTACATTACCTGATAGTAATTTTAGTGAAGTCTCAATAAACCAAAGCACAATGTCGCAGATCAGTGCATTAAAAGATGATCCAGTAACATGCCAAGAGGACATTGTCTCAGGTGACAGTTCTTCCACCCCTTCATGTCAGCTGACATCTGAAGACAATAATCCTGCACCTACATTGTCTTCTGATAGTAATTGTACAAGGTTTGAAGACAAAAATAATACCACTAATGTCCCAACTAAGGAAGATGATGTTTGTTCCAAATTGGGAGCGAGATTGGAGCTGCAACAAAAGAAGATGGTTCCTCTCACCCTGTGTGTTAACGAAACCGTTGATCCTTCCTCACAATTGTCTTCCCCACCAACTCCTCCTACAGTCCCTGTAACCCCCACTCTTCAAGATGACCCTGTCCTGGAAGAAATCGCATCGAACTTGTCAACTCCATTTTTTACCCCAACAGCAGTTAGTGAGTCTTCTGTATTCAATGAATCAGATGGCCTTGAAGAGTTAGTGTCAAATCTTCCCAACACTTCAGCATCTGATGCAAAGCCAGAAACTGTAACTTGTGATTCATCTCAAAAACCTGTAAGGCCTTCTTCATTGGAAATTCCTGTTTGCTCAGAGCCTTCACAGGCTGTAACAACAGGCAGTAGTGAGGAATCTCCTGCTGCTTTCAATGCTAACATTGGTATGAAAAGATTAAGTTTGACTTTGTAGCTTAAATATTTCAGAAGCATCTTTAAAAGTATTAATTGACTATTGCTCATGCTTCCATACAGGACCTCCTGGCGCAACACCATCAGCAAATAGGCCTTCTATCGTAGAAGCTCTCTCTGAACCTCCTGCGACAGATGAATCTGCTACAGAGTCATCAGTGGAGGAAGGCTTATCAGGGGCAGTTGGTGGTGTTGATTCTGATCCTGTTCCTGTTCCTGTTGAGGAAACACTTCTAGGAAAAGAACCTCCCTTTTGGGTTCCTGATGCAGATGCTCCTTGTTGCATGCAATGTGACTTCAAATTTACAGTGTTGAAAAGAAGGCACCATTGCCGTGCATGTGGTAAAGTGAGTAAATAATTTATTGGCTGGTTATCCTTTCGTATTTTTCTTTAATGGGTTCCGTATCACTTAAAATTATCTTACCTTGTTTTGTCCTAAGGTTTTATGCTCAAAGTGCTGCAGTGATAAAGCTCACTTGGAATATATAAATGCAGAGGCTAGAGTTTGTGCCTCTTGCAAATCTGTTTTAATGAGAGGTGAATTTTCTTCCAAATCTTAGTTATTTTTGATGAGACTTTCACATTTTTGTTCTAACATAACAAATCTTTGCAGCTGTAGGTTCGCCTGTTTCTCCTGAAAGAACAAATTTACATCCAAATCCCAACAATCCAATGGAGTATTGTTCCACAGTTCCTCCCTTATTGCAAGTTGCTGGATCATCAGCAGCCGCTCCAAGTGTCATGGTCCCTGTGGGCGTTCTTAAAAGGGAGGGTATGTAAGAACTGTTTTCAAGACAGACTGGGATGAAAAGAATCAACTATTTCATTCCCTGTTGTGCAAAGCTTATAACTTTCAGCCATAGAGATAGTTTCACCCGCTACATTACTTTTTTCTTTGCGTATGATTTCTTTCTCTCATAACGTACTTGTAAATTTGTTGACAGGAAGTACAAAGCCAAAATCAGAAGCTAAACAAGTCATGTTTAGTGATGGTATTCGTCCTGGTGCAGACCTTGCAGAATTAGATGGCTCAAGTGAACCGCGTCTGTCAATAAGAAGAACAGGTCGTGTCTCTAAAAGAGTTGGAACTCCACCAGGAAATGCTCCTGCCTCTCAAAGGTCTTTGCCTGCTATTGATGCAACCACTATGAGTTATGTTCCACATGGCAAAGGCCTTCCCCCAATCGTTGTAAGGGGGAAGGATGGCATTCAATTTGAAGAGGACCCTGACCCAGCTCGTCTTATGGCTATGATTCGAGAAGATTCAGTTCCACCTGTCAAATTTACTATTAATCGTAATCTGTATGTTCTGGTGAAAATTCTTGACTGTGAGTATTTTTATATATTTAAACATGGCACTGCGTATCTTACCCTATCTCATGAAATCATTGATTTCTGAAATATTTTGTTCCAGTGAATTGCTGTGTGAATAAAGTTTGTTGGTGCTTCACAAGTGATGGACTTAGCTCAGTGGGTCAGGATGAGATTGTTATCATACTGGAGGTAGAACCTGAAGAGACAAATGTTCCAAAGGACATATTTATTCACTTAAATACTCTGTATATGGAAGCAGCCAAGGGAAATACTGTTACTGAAATGGGGCACACTTTGACTCAAGGATCACCTTTTCTTGGGTCAAGAGAACATGGAGGCTTCCTTTATGTGAGACCAACATTCCAGTGCCTTCACAGACTTGTTCTGCCTCCTGCCCCTTACTTAGTTGGTGTTCTTATTCACAAGTAAGTTGAATTATATAAACTGTGTAACTCAGATTCTTTTTTCTTATTATCATTACTATATTTTTTTTCTCAGATGGGAGACACCCTGGGCCCGAATTTTTCCTATCAGACTCATGTTAAGACTTGGTGCTGAATTTCGCTACTACCCATGTTCCCTCGTCTCCATTCGTCAAAGATCTGCTGTGTATGGAGAAATTGGTCACACAATCATTCAGATGCTTGCGGTTGGTGTTTATAATTATTTTGTTCCTTTTTTTATTGAAGGTGACTTGTATTTATGATTTATTGTTTTATTTTGTCTAGGACTTCCGTAACATGGCATACACGTTGCCTACTGTTAGAGGGCTCGTCATACACATGGAAGACAAGCAAACCGTAATACTGTTGCCTCGCAACCGTTATGATCAGGTATGGAAACTTCAACATATGGTGCTGACATTCTTCAAACTTTTAAACTGCTGACATCAAAATTATTTTGTAAAAATTTTTTATCAGGTTATGCGGGCTTTGAATAATTCAAATGACCACTTCTTAGCTTTTGGAGCAAACTTCAGCCAGGTTGCAGATTCTCATCTTGTGTGTATGCAGACTGATACAGAACACAGCTATTACACGCAAGCAATAAACATTCAGAATAAACCCCGAAAAGGTAAGGGAGTTTTACTGAAATTTCAAATTACATCTGCCACATCGATATGTAAATGTTTTATTTTTATTGTTGCAGTTACTGGTGCATCCTTTGTAGTGTTTAATGGTGCATTGAAAGTTTCTTGTGGAATGTCAGCAAAATCTTCTATTGTTGAAGATGGTTTAATGGTTAAGGTTACAGCAGAAACCATGGCAAGTCTTAAGACATCTTTACGTGACATGAAAGATTTGAGCATAACATGTGGTCCTATTAATCCATCAAACGAAAGTTCTGCGGGAGCTGGTGCTTTGGCAAGTGATGGAGTGGTTTTAATTAAATGGGCAGAAGATGACAGGAGTTTTAACATTGGGTGAGGAGTACTGTAAATACTTTATATTACCCTTCTTATTTGGACTCTTATCATTAATTTATTATTGTCTTTTTAGTGTTCTGAGTAGTGTGGACGGGCGACCACTGAATGGAGTGCCATCAATAAGAGTTCACAATGGAACTGATTATCATGGTGAATCTCGATTTATTAGATGGACAGAAGTTTTTATTCTTGAGGTAAGTGAACATGTTGCATTCTCACAAAAGTATTATTTTTCTGTTGACTAAAGAACTTTCCTATGGTTTATTTTTCAGTCAGAAGAGGGCTCGGGAAGAACAGGAGACCCCGTCGATATCAGTCGTTTGTCAGAACAGCTTGCTAAGGCATCTTGTCTGGCATTAGTGAAACTTCTAGACCTACTTGCTGCTGCCAATCTTACAACTTTGGCAGTGCGTGCAACCATCCATCCAGAAAATGTAGGGTATCTGGCTGGAAGCAATGGAGAAAAACTACCGCCCATCTACATGAATAGCCTAGATCATGAATTAGTGCCTGTTCTTAATGAAGCCGGACTCATGTCTGGTGAAAGCCCGGCTGTATTAGAGCTTGTGTTCCGAATAATGGATTCAGGATGAAGTTCAACTAGATTTTGTGATAAATACTGCAATACTTTAGTCATAAAAAACTCTCAAAATTAGTGATACATTTAAAACTAACAAGTCAAAGATAAAATCTTTAGAAACAATTCTTTGGCACTGATTCATACCGTCCTCTAAATGTGCTCTTTCCATTTTTAAAGGAAAAAAGAAAATGCGCGAACCTTTTTCTTATTCATGTCTAACTGTTCTGTGCTAGGAGGAAGGCTGATTTTGTTACTTTGTTCTGTGGTAACTTAATGATCTGGTTTCTTGTAATTCATGACTTTGTGATAGGTGAATGACTTATTTGGGATAACTGATTATTGTTTCATGAATAAATGGTGTGATGGGCTATGAGGCTCTGATATGATTTTGTTTTGTTTTTGTAGTTCTGTTTTATTTTGCGATGAAGCTCAACAAGTCTGAGAGAAGCTGTTCTCTTTCCTGTATTTCTGAGCATATATCATCATCTTTTGTGTAATAAGAGTTTTATATTGTTATATCTGTATATATTGGTATGTGTTAACACAATTTTATGTCTTGAATCAATATAATATAATATTTTCTATTATTCCAGGTTGGCTTTTATTTTGTGAAAAAATATTTTGATGCATGTTGATCTGTAAGCTTACCCTTCTGACAGCCTCTAATTGCTTCTTTTGTCTGTGATATCAGCAGTGAAATGTTGGACTGTGAAGGTAATGGATGTTGCTGTTTGTTTAGACTGCAGCAGAATTTTCAGCTCAAAAACTCCGCTTATTTGTTTCAAATTGTAACTATCCTATGTGATAAAGAGGCATTGACAAATTTTGCTGTGGAACAATCGTTTGACTTCATGTTCATATTATGGTGTTGGAAATTCTGTTCAAATTTCATGGTGCTGTATTGTTTAAGATCTCCTCTAACTATGGTAGTTCCATCTACTTCTTGCTACTATCTATCTTAGTATGTGCTCACATGCTTTAGCCATAGATGGACAGAATTGCTGAGCTCCCTATTGTATCCTGTGCTTTGTTTGTCACCCACTCTGGAATGCTATTTACACCATCTCCCACTTGTGATCCTCACTCCTTCCTCACTTAATCAAAATGAGTTTTCTGAATCTGAGTTGCATATCTACACAGCTGTTAAGGAAGTTGCTGGCTCTTAATGAGCAAATTAATGTTCTAGTTAAATGCAAAATGTACGTATGTTGATTATTTTAATACAATTTTCTTGATTACGTTTTTTATTATATACTCAATCTATCTTCCCTTATTGAAACCATCTTTTGATTTTGAAGATTTTTCAAATACTTAGTTTTTCGTTTCTAGCGATTATGTACAGTTGGTATTAAGACACCTACCACCTTGATAAATAAAAACATAACATAAAAATTCAATGTTGTTATTATATTTATTCCATGTATCACCTAGACTGTTCGTCAGAGAGAGACAAGTTGCAAACTGAAAATAGTAATGAATTTAACCAGCAAGGAAAACTGCATGCACCAGGGCTATTCAATACAGATTTTGACATCACATGGTAACAATAACAATAAAACTAAACGAAGTGATGGCAAAGTTGTATTTAGTGATAAAGTATGTGCCATCATGCAGACATGTCGACTGTCTTAATCTGCTCAATACCTTTACCAAAAAATGGACAACTTCTAGATTGTGAGATTAAGATCAGGTCAAATTTCCCACAACTTAACTGCTTGGACCACAATTGGTACTCTTCTGCTCATTAAGTCAAATTGACCAAGAGAAAAAGACAAATATCTATGAGTATGGAGCAGCAGAAGAAGATGCAATGGTATGTAAAGAACGCAGTTGCATCATACCTGTCAGAGATGGAAAGGAAGAAGGAGCACAAAAAAATAAAATAAAACAAATTTCAACCAGGAATGGTTTTATCAAAATGGAGAAGTATTCTACCTAGGAGCCAACTATCTACTGTGTTCAAACATTATCTTAATTGTTTAGCATTAAATTACAATACAGCAAGCTTCTCCACTTGAAGGTATGCTGATTCAGAGAAGGCAATCCTTAAAATTGGAGTGTCACGCTATTATACATTCAGAGGCTGTCAAAAACAATGGCAGCTCATTAATCTCACTGCCATTAGAGTAATGTACCAGTAAAAAAATCAAGCCACTAGAAAAAGGCAAGATATTACATTAGGTAGTATAGATATTAATCATACATGATGTCTCTGAACATTAATGCACAATAAATGGTATACAATGATTCCACGGCATGTTGGAAAACACCTCCAAAATAAAAAAATATAAACCTATACAGATTAAGTCTCATTAGGTGAACCTACAGCAACACACTAAGGTTAAGAAGTCTGTAACAATCAATTCCAATACCATTCAACTAGTCTCTCAAAGCATTACTATACCTTAAACATAACAATAGCCAAAGGTAAAATAAACATTTAAAAAAGTATTACACTTTATACATAGATTAGATGAAACAAACTGCAACTAAAATCATAAAATAAGGCCCACATTACACATTAAAATGAGGCCAATTAAGGAAACGAAAACTTAAATAATAAAAGCATTTTCATCAGATAACAAGGAACAAATTTTTGGATGCACCACAAAATTAACACATATTAGAGACTGATTTTTCTCACAACTTGAGCAAATATGAACAGACAAATAGTAAGTGCTCCATATCTCACTCTCAGTAAAGATAAATCAAATGGAGCCATGCTGTAGTTCATATCAAACCAAGGAATTCATGCCACTTGGGTTTGCTCTGACTGAATCTGGTTAAATTTTGAGCTAACAATCCAAACCAACCAAACCACAGAAAAAACATAGTCAGAAAAAGAATTTTTTTTGCAAGTGTTAACTATTATTGCTCAGTGTAATAGAGGTATATTCAAAATATTGAATTAATAATTTATGCTATTTCCCTGGCAGAAACCATAATCGTTGAATGAGAGCTTTGATTTTCGCAATCTATTTCTCGAGATGCAACAGCACAAAGATTGTTTCTATTTACTTCGTCCGTGATTTCACGAGACAAATCCACACCACTATTTCGATCAGAGTTATCTCTGACCTGAGGAAGAGAGATTCGCCCTGAACGATTTCCCTGCACATCACAACTTTGGGGCTGTTGAGATGATAGGCAATTCAGATCATTACGATTTTCATAAACATACGAAAATGAACCTGACTGAACATGGGTTTGTTTATGCTTTTCAAGAGAGGACTCTAGTGGAAAGCCACGGCCGCACTGCATACAAATATGGCGGTTCTCTCCAGTATGAAGACGTTCATGGCGCCGAAAACTAGAACCATCAGCAAAACAACGATTACACACTGTGCAAGTGAAAGGTTTTTCACCAGTGTGTGTTCGACGGTGGGTAAGTAAATGAGATTTAGTTATGAACATTTTATCGCATGACTCGCACTTGTATGGCCTCTCTCCTGTATGTATTCGTTTGTGTGCCACAAAAGTTGAACTTGTTGAGAAGGTCTTTTCACATACATTGCACACATATGGTCTTTCACCTGAAACACATGAAGAAGGAGTCTTAGAACAACACTTACTAAACAGAAATATTGGAGATTTAGGGGCATTGACGCTCGAGTCCCGTCGGTGGCGTGGCGTGGCGTGGCTGAGGCTTAGGTGGACGCGACAAAGCCCTCCAGCGCAGATGTCTCACACGCCGTGACCACTGCACTGCGCCCACCGGCCCACCGACGTGATACGAGCGTAAATGCACCTTAAATTGATCAAATTATTACCTGTATGAATGCGTATATGCTTCTTTAAGCCACATGAATCAACAAAACCAGAGCCACACTCATCACACTTATATCGCTTGACAATAGCTCCATTAGGACCATGAGTGCGCTCATGTTTTACAAAAGCAGACCTATCAGCAAAACAACGTTGGCACAATTGACACTGGAATGGGCGTTCCCCAGTATGAGTGCGTCGATGTGTCACTAAGTGTGAATTTGTGGCAAATGCTTTGTGACATGTTTCACACTCGTAGGGTCGTTCACCACGATGGTACCGATCGTGGTTCACAAGAGCTTGCTGAGATGCATAAGTTTTACCTGTTGACACAAAATGTAAATCCAATAATTTATTGTGAGATACTGCAGAAAATGTAATAAATGGGTTAAATGTAAACAGAGAGGGAAAAAACATATTTTTAACTGGAACAGACAGTTTTTAATTCCATTGAGATAACAGCACTAAAGCAATCCATGCATATCAATATTCCCTTTAAAGGTCTACTTTAAGGAAAATAGGGGCAAAATAAATTTAACTTTACAAACACACAATAAACAAGCATTAAAAATTTGGTACAAAAAGTACATCCTTTCCCCTGTCTAGAGATTTAAGGTTTAAAACCTATTCATTCTAACAAGTGCAAATTCAAAAAATTTGGAATTGAAATTTAGTGTACAGTTAATTGATCAGATTTGTTGTTGTGGCAAAAACAACTACTATGCCAAAGCCTACAAAAGAAAATAACACGAAGCGGATGAGCGAGCAAAATATAAGCAAGACACTCACCGCATATATCACAGCGAAATGGTCTCTCACTGTCCAAAAATGGGAAGTTAGTGCTGCCTAAATTTTCACTGTCGTCATTTCTGCGACTTGAAGATGCACCGTGGGCTGGACCCCCCCGTGCACCAGGTGCCTTTGAACCCCCACCACTTCCATTGCACCGGTCACCTACACATTCACGCCCATGACAATTCTGATGATGATGCGGAAAGGCTTGTTCCCCCTCTGAATCCATGCTGGACACCTCCTCGCTATCCTCACCATCAGCATCAGCGAAGACTCTGTCCTTGTTGTCCTCTTGTTCTGCTATTTCAGGGGCTGAAGCGTCGTTAACAATTATCTTCGCATCAGGTAAAATGGGATTATCTTGAATCTGTGACATGGTCACAATTGTTTGTGAAGAACGAGACACAAGGTGAGTATCTCCAGGCTTGGGTGATTCTGAAGTGCTAGTTGAATCAGATGAGTTGTCTCGAATAGATTCTTCTACAGATCTACAATTCACAACAAAAGAAGTTCAATAATTTTAACTTGTAAACAGCAATAATAAACTAATAAAAACTATTTAAAAAACCAAGTAATAGAGTCACTTTACCTGCCATTGTGAGTATCATTAGTTCTGCTCCCAGCTTCATTGCCAGGCTGAATTTGGTGCGGGCTTTGTGATGGTAGTCCTCTTGAAGCATCAAATAAAAATATACCAGCAGCTGACACACCCCGTTGGGGGTTCAAAACGTAACTGATGAAAGCATTACTATCAGCGGAGTCACCGGGTGCCACACCACCAACAGGGGGAGGATTATTTTCAGCCCTACAGCTGACAGTTTGAGGTCCTGGTTGGCTCTCTCCACTTTGCTTAGCAAGACGAGTTCTGAAATTTAAATATAGGCATAGAATGAAATTGACATGAATGGGATACAACAAGTATTTTGTCCAACGGCATAAACATTGCACTCCTACCCTTCTTGTGTAGGTGGTATTGAAGATAGTAATGTTGCATCATTTGGAAGGTATGGCATCTGATGGGGGTGAAAATGCTGTGCCCCTTGATCTACATATGCATGAGACAGCCATGCTATTTCAGAGGCTCTCGCATGAGAGTGAGCAAAATGTGGTGGAGCTCCTGGGGCTTGTGGGACTCTTCCACCAGATTGAGAAACGTGAGCGGCTTCAGCTGCATGAGCAATTTGAGCTGCTTGTGATGACGCCTGAGCAGCTTGCGATTGGCCGCCTGCTTGCTGCATGATTGCGGTTGGGGCTGGGACTTGATAAATGATGTGTGAAGACGAAGGCGGTAGACACAGTTGCTTGGATGATGCGTTAAGAACACCACTAGTCTGAAAAACGAAAGCAAATTATGTAAATTTGACAAACACACAAGAAAATAGGAATGTTCAAGCTATGATTCAATAGAAATAAAATGTAAATAAAAAAACTAATAAATAACTTATTCAGTAGTATAAGAATGCAACATAAAATGTTAATTACAGAACTAGGTTGAGAACAAGACGAGTCTTCAGTTGGTGGTGCAACACGACCAGAAATAAATCCTGTCCGAGAAGAATTTTCTGGAGAGGTACTTTGAGCTACTGGATACTGTTGCAAGTCACTGCAAGAACCTTCTTCGTAGGTTTCGAGTTTGACACTGACAAAGCACTCAGGTAACATATGTTTCAGTCCATACTGCGCCGAGTCTCCCAAGAGTTCAACACCATCCCTGCGCTGATCCATCACCATAGAGCATCATTGCATTTCTGCTTTGAATTTGCAAAGCCCTGTGGAAATAAAAATAATATTATAAAGCTGCAAGAAATTATCCCACACTTCATCATGCCATGTGAGTGCTTTCAAATGGAATGAAGTAAGACAATGGCTTTAACCATCATAAATTAAACCAAAATAATATGACATAAACATAGAATGTACAGCGGCAATTTGAAAATCAAAGGAGGCGTAGATAACCAAGTTAACTGATTAACCTATAACACACGTAGTTTATGGGAAAATTTCAAACGCATATATTTTTTTAATCTTCAACTTTAAAAAGGTAAGGGGAAAATCATTGTAAACGAAAGCGGAAATTAATATTGGGCTGGAAATAAGAGTAGGGCGTAGCAGTGGGGGAGCCTCTGTCAATCATCTTGATTGACAGCTAGAGGGATTCTTCAGTATGACGCATACTTGCAGGTTTAAAATAAACTGCGTGATAATGAAAACACAGCAAAAATACTGATTGGGACAGTCTAAAATTGGATAAAACAATAGATAATGGAAAAAAATCAATAGCGTCAACTGACGTACGGGAGTACGTACAGAGGCACAGCAGCCGCCACATAGACGCGCTCAGAGAAAGAAGCGCAACGAAATGCGGTACCTGAGCCCTGGCCTGCGCCCAAACCAACGAAAAGTGCTCATACTCACGCCAGGTTAATTCTAGTATCCACGGCAGTAGTTTCGGTGGAAAACTCGACTCAAGAGGTCCTGAAACTCCCTCTGACTAAAGTCAAGGAAGCGCTGTTCAACACATCACTTTGTTTACATGTTTTTAAGATGTAGAAAGGAGTCTTTGCAACTCATAATACTGGTGAACTAGTCGCTTTGAACGTATTCCTAGAAGTATCAGTGCACCCACAGTCTCAGCGAAGGGGATAAATATAAATATGCAATACTTTGTTTTGTCTCTCTTCTTTACAAATTCCGATGCTCAACGCTCAACTGAAGGAGGAAGCAACGTTGCCATATTGTCTAAACAGCACGATTTGGCAACTATGGAATTACCGGAAGGAAACTGCCAGCCTACGACTCGCTCGGTGTAACTTTTGAGGTAAAAACTGTTCAAATAAGCGAAGAGCCTAGGTTGTTACGAGGAATCCCTGAAAGGCTTTCAAACCTTATTTTTGACCTTTGATTTACAGAACGTGCAGGTAATGAGATGACATGAATGATGTTTGAAATTTGAATGAAAAGTTGGACAGCTTGTTTTAGGGTATACCAACGCCTACCTCGGAAGGTAGTGCCTGTCGAAAGTATTATTCGGAAATACTGATGATTGTTTCAGGACAATTATAATTTCATATAGCTTAGTTATAGGCAACTTAATCAAAAACAGATGTAAATGCTATCTCTATCAAAGTGTCCCTAGTGATTTAGCGATGTGGAGAATGTTGGTGCGTAACTTCCTCCCCCCTCCTGTTTTCCAGCAACAGCAACACGTACCAGCAAGCCGCCAAACTTGACAGCTAATCCACAGGAGAATGGCGCAATACGAATTTACTGACGAAGAAACTCAACTACCCCCTGTTAAGTATGAATGTGAGTGTGCAATTATACACTTTATGGTTTATGAATGATTTCATGTGCTGACATCTTAGCTAAACTTGTATCTGATGGATCAAAAATCTTGCCGTGCGCATCTTAACCTGTAAAGCGCCTTTCTGAAGTGTCCAGATCATAAACTACCTGCTTAATATTTTCAGACTTGGACCACACAGCAGATGTCCAGTAAGTAATTAAACTGTTATTGCTCTCAATGAGTTTGTCAGTAGTCCTACAATCTAATTTGAATATAATCTTTTTGTAAACATTGGGCTAGCAGTTTGATTCACGTTTCCTCTTCCAACATTTTCAGGCTTCATGCGTGGGGGGATGATCTTATGGAAGCATTTGAGCAGTGTGCCATGGCAATGTTTGCCTACATGACAGAAATAGAATATGTAGATTTGGTTGAGGCACACCAGATAGAAGCTCAAGGAGAAGACTTGGAATCTCTTTTATTTCACTTCCTTGACGAGTTTTTATTTTTGTTTTCATGCGACCCATTCCTCATAGCAAGGGTAAGTTGAATGGTTGAAGCCTCTCTTTGAAGCCGGTTCTCGATCCCATTCCAAACACAGCTTCTTTAGTTTGCTCTTATGGGGTGGGGATGTGAGTGAGACGTACAAAGGGATGGAACACTAAGTCACACCACCATCAAGCATGTTTCTCTTTTCTGTTTCAGAAAGTAAAGATATTAGATTTTGACTTTGAAAACTTCAAAATTGTTGCTAAAGGGTATGGGGAGAGATTTGATCTGGAGAAACATCCTCAAGGAACTGAAGTGAAAGCCATTACATATTCCAATATGCAAGTTCACAACAAGGATGGACAGCATGAAGTTTTTGTAATAATTGACATCTAAGAGGGCTCGTGAAAAATTACTTCAAAGTTGCAATTTGTCAATCATTCCCATTTCATCATCCAAGAAGCACAGTGGCACAGTCTTGGTTTGTAATTCAAAGCAGTGTCACATAGCTACCATCATGGCTCCATGCATGCTACCATTGCGGGGGAAATCACAGCTATACGTTTAATAACTTTTTATTGAATAAAAATTTATATCGCAGTTATGAAAAACAAGAAAAGATCCTCGCGCAGTTTTTTTATTGCAGCATCTTGACCTTGTCAGTACACATGGAGTAGAGAAAGAGAGGTTGGTCGTAAACGTAAACAACCACCAAACGTTACATTTTAATGACGTTGAGACACCACCTGTGACATCTGATGCTGTCGCTGAAGACCAGCTTAAGCAGTGTTTGCACCTAGCGGATTGCAAGCAAGATATTTGGGAATACTGAGGGTGAACCTCCCCGCCCCCGCTCATTCAAAAACACATGATCCGCTGAGTACGTCACGTCACAGCGCTGCCATCTACAGGACAGATGTTCCACATCCCGGGGCCCTCTCTCGAGCACAGTTATTGTTTGCGATCAAATCTGCAATGAGTATAACTTTTATAGTTTCGGAGCGAGTAGTTTATGGTTCCACCGTTCGCCGAAAAAGCAAAAATTTAAACTCGTAGTGAGATATTCTTCCGAAACCTGTTGATGGCCGACATCGCTTACCCAGTGCTCGTTCCGGGGCCAACACAGCCACACGCTGTGCGGGAAAGGTGTTTTCGCGCCATCGGGGCACTGCATTGTTGCTGCTGTGGCGGATGCCTGGCGGATGCCCGAAACACGCTTCTTTTTAAGTGCTCCATTTAATCTCATTTTGAACGATTTATTTTTGTTGGCCGCGATATACTCGCAGTTCTTGTTTTATTTACCTTATTCGACTTCGCCTTAAAGCTACCTTCAGTCTTTCCGGTGGATATCTGTGCGTTGAGGATCGTTGAATCTTCTAGTGTAATAATAATTATGCTGTAACGGAGCTTGCTTGCAAGCCAAGCTCGAAACAAAAGACGGCTTTGGAAAGCACTATTCTGTTCTGAAATCTTCATGAAACATGTAGGATTTGAACTTCAACTTATTTCCACCACACGTATTTCTCCTGTATATCGGAAACCTACTATCTTCTAGTCCAGGTAAGTTCGGGCGTTCCTCGGCTCCGACGTTGCTGTAGTTGAATGTTGTAATACAAGAAAAGTTGCGTGCATCGATATTTTTTAGGTGAGGGCATCTGGGGAACTAGCTATTGCAATTATCCAAGACTTTGCACCAAAATACGGCCTCTCGCAATTTTGCTGCCTTGCTCTATTCCGAACCGGTAAGGCAAGAAGGGCAAGGCTAGCGTCGTCTCGGTCCGGTCCGTAGGGGGCACGCCGATTTCGCATTTTTTACCCTTGCAACACTATTCCAGTCCCTCAGTTTTCACTCCTGCCTGATTTAAGAGTGGGTTATGATCGGGCCAGATATCTATTTAAGTAATTGCGGATGAAGCGCCGCTGTTATTGGGTACTTTAGTGAATTAAATGGTCACTCCGCCGTGCCGTTAGACACTGTGGCGTCGATACTGGCACTGGCCATGCCTTCATAACAAATTGCGACTCGATTGTTTCCTCTTTTTCCTGCAGAACGTAAGTTTTGGCCTTTATTACTTCAAGAATTTAGTTATGTTGATTGGTGGGCATCTGTTTTGCGGGCTGTAGCACGCCGGTGCGGTACGACGATGCGGCACAACGTACCTACTCGTTGCCGATAACCACGTATTGGGTTTCAATTTTAGGGCACTAAAGTATATGAACGGCTGCTCCAAGTGTTTTGTATATACTTTCATTGAAAATAGTTCTATCATTCGTTCCCTTATTCCTGGGGTCCATGGTAATATGTGATATATATGTGAGCAACATAGCCTTACTTATGTTTTTTTTTGCCCTAGTGTGTTTGTGTGTGTGCGCGGCGCGCTGGGCGCGTGTAGGACAATACATGGGGATGATTGAAATAGGTCTGCAACAGACTTTCGAGCGCCACCCAGTTATTTTTATAACAGGATGTCAATCCAGTTATTTGTTAATTGTTTAGCAACCTTGAAACGGGCATTTAAATTCATAATCTGAATATGCTTCTGACACAAACTTCACGATGAGTCTAGTATTTTGGTGCAATTGCTCTGAGCTCTGAGGTGTAATGCAACATAAATCTTATTTTTATCTAATGGCTCTGGTATTTTTCAATCATTTGTGTTTGAATTTGTTTGGGTAATTCTTTTGAGTTGATCTCTACAGATTTTACAAGAGTATTAGTTCTGGTGGTTTATTGGGTGCTCGCCATAGTTTATTTTCTGTTTAATTTGCACGTGGGTTGATATTATTTCTGGCCATGGTCTCAAAGTAGTTCTTCTGATGGATTTTGTTATGTGAGCTTGTTTGAGTTAAATCTTCATTTTAGTTTTGGAACTCTCATTTCCCATGTTATGAAACCTTTTTCTTGAGCCAAACCCTTCTGAATGGTCAGGTTACGTCAATTTTATTTTCTTAATTTAGGGATGTTAAAGAATTATTTGTCAAAAGATTCTGACAAGTACCCACACATATCAAACTGTTTAAAGCATTTACTGTCACAACTCTGTGATGTAAATTTGTGTGTTTTGTGTGATGTAGCAGCACTTGGTGCAGCTCATCCTGCACCATGCCGCGAGGCAGGAGGACGGTTGTGCTGAACGATGAGTCAGTGGTGAAGATGGCGACGCCAGACATGGCCACAGCCAAGCTAGGTTAGTGTCTGTGTGTACGCTTTAATGCTTTCATATGGCAATATTTTTGTCTCGTTTTTCATAATAAGTTTAGAGTAAATGTCCATGTGTTTGTAAGTGTTTGTAAGTCCGTAAGCTTTTTGAACCTTACAATGCAGGCTGGCAGGCATTTCGTTCATTTGTTCTTTCTGAAAAAAGCTTATGACAGTGTTGTCAGAGGGCTCAATTTCAAATCAGTCATATATTTCAGAACTTTACTCCTGTCATAACCAGCATTTTAGGACATTCTAACTTGCGGACAGAAACATTGTGATTTCTATTTTTTAATTTTATTTCTATCCTTTATGTTTAAAAGGGTTTGTGCTTACCTATCTGACTCTGAGCCTGCTGTGTGCAATACGTTGCATGCTAACTTTGGTATTTGGTGCTTCTCTCCTACTCATGTTGTTGCACTAATCTTTTATTTTTCCCCTCTTTTAATTTTGAATAGGCTCAGAGAGATATTTCTCCCATCATCTGGCTTCTGGTATTGGAGAACATACCACATCTGTAAGCCCCTCTTCTCCATTCCAACACCTCCTTGACCACGAGTACGGTCAAACACCCCAAGATCAAATCATCCGTCAACCTGTCGCTATTCCCCCACGTACACAGGTTAATTTTCTGTTTGCTACTGTTTATACTTTATGACTTTAGTGTGGGTCCACTTACGACTAAAACTTTCAAACCATTTTAGGCAGTGAAACGCCGATTAAACCTGGAGTCTCGGAGTGAAGATGGGTTCAAAACGCCCAAAGTTACCAAGAGAATGCGGAGCATTTCGAACAACAGCTCATATGGTAGCCCATCCAGCAAAGGGAAAAGTAAGTGTCCATTTTTTTTTCCCATGAGTTTTTCTGCTTGTTCTGTAATGGAATTGTAACGTTGTTTGTTTTTGTTTAGACAAGACTGTGGAAAGAACACGATATGACACATCCCTGGGACTTCTCACAAAGAAGTTTGTCGGACTTCTGGAAAACAGTCCCTATGGTATCGTTGATCTCAATGTTGCCTCTGAAAGGTTGGATGTCCAGAAGAGAAGAATTTATGACATTACAAATGTTCTGGAAGGAATTGGTATCCTGGAGAAGAGATCCAAAAATAACATACAGTGGAGGTGAACTATCACTCAATGCTATTGTATAAGGAGCTTTTCTTTGGGTTTTCTAGCCATTAATGATTTGGATTTACAGGGGTGGCAAGATGCCAAACCAGGGTGACTCACAGTCACGCCTGAGAACTGATATTCAGAATTTGACCGCCAAGGAAAATATGTTAGATGAATTGATCAGAAATGCTGGTGAGTACCTTTTTAGGCATTTAATTGAAGTAACAAAGTCTTCCCCTTTTTTAGGACTAAAAATTTGATTTTTATTTGACTTATTACAGAACATGAGCTGAGGCAGTTAAGTGAAGATAAGCGTTATGCATACATTACTTATCAAGATTTGAGGAGTATACCGTGCTATGCTAAAGAAACAGTTATGGCAATCAAAGCCCCACCGGAAGCAAAATTGGAAGTGCCTCATCCAAGCGGGGTATGGATTATTGTCTTTACATTCATGTTGAGATTTTAGAACAGCTCATAACAACACATTTATGACCTGTGCGTTTGTCTTTATTTTCAGAATGGTGGTTTACAAATGTACATGAAGAGTACTGACGGTGAAATTGAGGTTTTCCTGTGCCCAGATGATGCAGCCCCTAGTGAGTCTGATGTCAAGTCCAATCCGTCACAAATAGATGATCGTAAGTAGTTTTCAACTCCAAGTTAGCTTATTTACTTCTAAGCCCTTGTTTAAAAGAGATGATCTCTTTTTAGTTCCTGTTGGAGAACACTATGTTGAAGTCCCTCAGCCAAGTGTAGCGTCCAATCAAGAAGCCCCAACATTAGACTCAAATGATGACATTGTTTCCATTTTACCTGCCTCAAATCATATTGATCTTGAAGCCTTAGGCTTACTCATGAAGACTGAGCTTAAGAGTGAGCCAAACTCTCAAGATGAAGGGCATAGTGAAGGTAAGAATGATGATGTTTAAGATAATTGTTCTGTTCTATTTAAGTTGCTGCAGTTTCTCACTTTCATGTCTTCTTTCAGATTTCCCGGGATCATGTGACGGAACAATGCGGTTGAAGAATGCCCTGATAAGTGAGTCTGATGACTTTGGTCCAATGGGAGGTAGATATCAGCTGCAAACAGAGGACCAGCATAATAATAGTGTGACCGGTATGTATACCACTTTCACTGTCATCTTCAGTGCTATCTCACTACCGTCGAACCATGAAGGATACATTTCATGTTTGTCTGTGAGCTTTTGTGTGCCTCGCAACAGCTTTCTTACTAGGTTTATCTGCAGTTGATTCAGTGCAAGCTTGATTTGTCTTGCCTTACATTAACAAACTGGCCTATTTCATCATGTAACTCTCACGTCACCTTACTCACAAAATGAGGAGTGATACTAATGTTCTGTGTGTTTCTATTCATCACAATTTAACTTCTTGGGACTGAAGAGTTAATTTGTGCAGCAAGCATGTTAGCTCTTTTTTTCTTGCATCATAATCTTTTACAGCATAGTTTGTGTGTGCATGAAATGTGGTTACAATTACAGATCACATATGCTTCCTGCCCACAGCTAGTGGTTTGTGCCTTGGAATCTCATTTCCGTGAAGAGCGCTTGATCGCATGCGCTTCCGGTTTAGCTGAATTGTGTGATGGCTGCGGTACTTTAGAAGAACGTAGCACCATGGAATTCAGCTTAACCTGTTGTTGCTCTCACCTGCTAGCTGCCTGCATTCTACTCATCATTGTTATGTTATCTTTGCACTCTACACCTTCTTATCCCTGTTTCATGTCTTACTACTTACTTTACAGTTCCAATGAAGTTTTCACCATCTTAATTTATCATTTTCTCTTCTTTTTCTGTGTTTTAGATGCTGATTCGGCTTTAAGCAGCAGTGAGCCATTTTTATCTCTGGAACCACCTCTTACAGATTTCAACTTCAGCTTGGAGCCCTCAGAGGGTCTCACTGAAGTGTTTGATTTTCTGTTCTAATTGAGCCAAGGTACAAATGCTTCTTCAATCCAAGAGATATTTTTGATTGTTTAGATTGTTTTAGACTTATTGATTGATACTTGCCACTCAAGACTCTTCTGCAGAATCTTTGAAGTTCACGGCACATGTACTATAAGTCTTAATTGAGGTGTTTTATGGTCCTCAAACATCACACCTAACCAGGTCACTTGAACTGCCATTATATTTAGCCAAATATTTTGATTGCTTTGTATGAAAACACTCTTCATGTGGTTGAATCACCTATCAGCTTTTACAACCAACTTTTTAAAGAATGTTGATAGTTTTGGTGCCTTGTGTTGTTTTTTTTATACACATATTAATGAATGTATTGTATATAGTTTAAGTTTGTACATTTTTTTTCTTGAGTGAATGAGTATGTGCGCTTGCAAGTTATGTTTACCTTCACCAATGGATTACGATATAGTTGGTGTTTATCTACATTTGTGTACCTGTTAATTGTGTCAATTGCACAGAACCTGTAATGAACTGAAATATTTTATGTAAATTTGGTCTCTGGTTGGTGTATTTGCTGAAGTCTATTCATATTATACCAACCTGGTGTGGGAAAAAATTGTCACGGGATAAATGAACAGAAAAACTTACAACCATATTACTGTCACTTTGGTCATGACCCTCTTAAATGAACTGTCCATTATTTTGATTCAAATAATTTCCTGACAATGAAATTCTGAAAGCATACCATGCTGTTCCCTTTTAATTGATTAAATATTGTTACCTGTACTGTGTGTCTCAATTTGTGCTCTTCATGTTAAAGTTTTACTGATTGTTAATCAAACTGAATGTTAAGCATTTGTGAAGGAAGTGCATGGTTAAACTAAAACAAAGGTACTTCTCTGTGTCTTTTGCATCTGTTTCCATTCTAGTTTGCTGAATAAGCTTTTTGTCATTTTTAACCCCGTAATTCTGGTTTGTCTGTCATGCAGCTTGTAGTGTTCTTAATCAGGGTTACATCTGATTGTTAAGGCCATTTGAGGGATCAGACGAAATTCCAGGATGATGGTTTTCCTTTTAGTTGTATTTGTGGTATTTCCTGCCAGGTTAAATTTCATCCATTTAATGTAGGATATTCAAAATGACAGTGGGTCCATTGTCAGCCATGTGCATCTGTCTTGTTAAAGATGCCATTTATTGTGAATCAACATATTTGTTTGCTGGTTCTTTTTATTTTCCTTAATATGTCTGGAACAGTGTACAGTGATGTGCAATGATAGTGAAAGAAAGAAACAAAATAATTTTATCATTACTTCTATGACATTTATATTTCTTCTTGGTGAATTATTTTAAAGTTACCAAAAGCCCAGTTTCTTTTCCCAGTTCTGTTATTAAAATCTCCCTAAACTGGAGTTGTTACAATTATGACTACTTGTTAGAAAAAATAGTTAAAATGATGATGCTTGTTTGAGGCTGGTAAGCTCGGTTATTCCCTCATCAGCACATGCTGAAGAGAGGTTTTACCAATGCTACTATATGGCATACTGTGTGACATTGTGTGTATAGTTTTACTTTTCATTTAGTGCACGACTGTTTGACATATCATGAGATTGATTTGTCAGTGTGTAATTATATATTTATATTTAAAAAGAAATAGTACATATGACTATGTAACTAACCTTGTGCTAATTTGTTTAAGTTTTTGCACAGGGCACTATCTTAATTCTATTTGTATTGGTGTCACATCATTTTTGTGTCTAGGCAATTGGTGTGTGAACTCGCGCAGATGTTTTGGAGCAGTGAATGTATTTTTGGTTTCTGCTTGTCATGTCTTTCTTTCTGTGACAGCCTCCATCAATTTTGTTTTCTTTTGTGGACATTGTTAACATTGCAGTAATGGATTACTCCTATTCTGTTCACAGCAGATTTAGAAGTATCCCGCCTCTTGAATGTTCGATGGTTCTAGAAGTTTCCATGGCTTAACAGTGACTACACACCTGAGTTGAGAAGCATAGATAAACAGGAATTTAATGGTCAATTGATAGAAAAATAAACATTCCTTGCTCCTTTTTAAATGGATTTTTTTTTTAAAAGACTCTGTGCGGAGCTGTGGCAATATTAATTCAGTTTTTGGTGGTTGTGTTTGGAAACAGTTAAAGCTGTCCACCTTGTCCAGTTTGTGGTCAGAGCTCATATTATGTACTTGATCTGAATGCATTGAGCTGCTTTGTCATCTGTTTCAATTATCAACTGAAAATTTAAGTGCTTTTATCTTAAAAGTGACTCTACTGTTGATTGTCTTAATTAGCTGTTACTATTTTTATGTGAATCTGTTTTAATGCGTGTCTTTCTGTCCTATTAGTTTATGGATATCCAGCATAGAACTAAATGTGAGCTTACATGGAAAATATAAAACTTCTCATATTTTTAATGTTGCTGTGTGTCTTGATATGTTCCTGTACTACTGTTCTTCAAGATTGGACGAGTTTTAACCTTCATTCACCAGCTTTTGAAAAAGTTCTTCTGGAGTTCAGTGTCAGACTTCCAGCCTGAAAAAATGAGTCAATGAAGGTCTTGATTCAGGTTGCACACATTCAGCAGTGAAAGAGAGAAGTTATTAATGTTGTGTTCATGTTTTGAGACTTCCATTTGTTATGGGGGTCATTATCACACTCAACCTAGGTAATCTCAACTGCCATATTGTGGTGCAGGATATTCTAGCAAAAAAAAAAAACCCTAGAAACAGAATGAGCACCTCATTTTATTTCAACATAGTAAGAAAAGAGAAATTCTCCTAACATTTCTTTCCAACACACTATTCAACAAAGACCTGAAGTAGCCAAAAATCTAAAGTGCACATTTGACTCGTTAACAATACACATAATAAAATAAACATTAACTAACAACTGATATAAATTTTGACAACTCAACAAAAATCATACCTATACAACATTGATTCTGCAATTGGGACTCAACAATGCTCCAATTTTAAAAAGCACAGTTAGTTGCAGGTTTGTACATTTTTACTTCAGTAGAATCGAGACACCAAATTCTATTACAATGGAATGTGAGTTTCATTATCAAAGATAACAAATATCTTTTGGTTCATTTTTTCTAGCAGTAGAACATGAATAAAATGAAATGCAGTGTTTGATGGATAAAAGCACTTTTGCCGACACCTTAAGACTCAAAAGAACTATGAAATAAACAGATTAACTAAGTGTGGACAACAGGCAACAGGACCCATATCTGGTTCATACTAGACTGGACTGGACAGCCTGTTTAGGACCACACATTGTTTGGTCCCCTATTCGAAAACACAGAAGCAAGAATTGCAAATGGTGCACAAAATGGAATTACAGACAATCAGCAGAACAATCAAACTTGGGCTTCCTAAATCCTGCTGGTATCTAAGAGGCTACTACTTAGTAAGCATAACAATTTTAAAAAATCACAATCTGCTCCATTATGAAGCTTTTATCTAACAGATACTATTGAAAATAGTCATTGACCTAATCAGTGATAGTTGTTCATATTCCGTGTAAAAACACTTTCACATCTATAGCCAATTAAAATACCTATTATTTTTCATCATCATTACTTCAATTTTGAAAAACTAAGAATTCTGTGCAAGTCCTAAATGGAAAATTTAGAATACTGAGCACTGAGCAATCATTTTTAAAAATGTACCTCCCTAAAGCAGACAGTTACCAGCCCTTGAGGTATTAATCTGGACGGAGAGCATGCATTTTGGAGGCTTCCCCTCCACCCCTAACCAAAATAATACAACAAAAAGAATGCCTTTACAGTCTTTGTGCATCAAATTCTGACAAAAATAATAATAAGGAGTCAGGTAAAAAATTTCAAGCAGAAAAAGAAACATTTAAAGAGACTAAAGTAAAATGCCATTGTACTGAATTGCCATTTTCATAAAACAGGAAAAAGTTTGACAGAAGCAGGCAAATTGGCAAAAGAATGTTATGATGAGCCTGAAGCATAAAAAATACCTCTGTGTAAGCAACTGTACGTACACACACTCGCACACCAAAGAATAAGTGATCATGTGGAATTATCAGAATACAGCTGCGTAATGAGTAAAACATCACTGGTAATACAATGAGAACTAAAATAACTCTGAATAAAAACAGAAAAATCAGCTATAAAATAACCATAACACAGAAATAAAAATGAAAAATTATAGTACGAGATTTGGAGCTGGAGTATTTCAATGATGTTGTATACTCCTATTCCATAGCAAAACAGAAGCCTCAAAGCATTTCATTCCCTTGCCTTTACGGCTTACAGCACCAAAAGCTTAATAAAATGATTTACCATGTACAACAATAACAACGAACTCAGCCTTTCATTAACTTTGAAAATGCGCTGGAAAAATCATGTGTACTCGCCTGCAGCCTTCTGAACTGCTGTTGGAATAGACTCTTGAGTTCGTGAATGAAGTGAACGTCCAAGAAGTTCTGGACAGGCTTTTTCACCAGTCTGAATGGCATTCAGTTCTGTCAGAAGATCATAGTTTATGCGATCTGACACCAAAGAATCTTGTCTGTAATCAAAAATAAATATCAAGTAATGTTACCCACTTTGTAATCATTTATGAAGAGTAAAGACTTACTTGTAATCTTTATGGTTGCGGACAAATGCTCTCATCCAGCTTGCCAGAGTCAACAGTTGACCAGAAGCCCTTCTCTGGATCAGTTTCAAATATTGCTGAATAGAACAGTGAGTATCTGCATCGACGTCCATTCCACTTAGATAGCTATTTATCAAGGGTACAAGGCCAGGAAATTCTCCTGCCTGCAATGGTCATTAAATACACATAAAACATAAATCACGATTTTAAGACAAAATAATGGTCATCTCCCTACAAACCTTTCCATTTATTATTTCATCCACAGTCATTAGTGTGTAACAATCAGCATCACTTTTAGCTTCAGTGCTAGACTGACAACAAGCAGTACAAGCAGGTGGAGAACTGAAAGTAGTTATGTCTTTCCGGAACCAAAACTTTTCTGTCTTAACCGCATCCTTTTTCTGCGCTTTCTGCATATTTTCGTCAACCTTAGGGTAAAAGAACATTTAGTACATTCACTGGATGTTATTCCTTGTTATAATATGTAGCTAACATCCTTACCTTACTTATTGGTATGATTAAATTTATACGATATGATAAAATTACACGGGTCAAGAGTACAACAAAACAAACAATAGCTGCATTCTCAAAATCTGTTATTTGCACCTCACATGGTCTGAATTCCACTCTCCACCCGATTGGAGAATTGGGTGGAGGTGGTTTAAACCTCATGGTTTGCCAGTTTGTTGACTGAATGTTCTAAAGAGAAGGAACAAGAGAAACCAGAACCCATGAATGTATAAATAAAACCATTGTTCTAAATTAATTTTATGCAAAAATTAAACAAATCAGGGACAAAGACTAAATAGAAGCAATAGAAAAGGTTTTACATAGAAAACTTACTTCAAAATGGTCGGTGTCTTCTTCATCATTCTGATGAACTTTTTCACTAAAGAGAGATACAGAATCTCTGATGAACAAGTGGGCAATGTGTTGAGCCAGCAGATGATCAATGTCAGCCTTGCGTAATTCATCGTAAACAGCTTCATCATAAATCAAAGGGACATCATTGTACCTGACACACATAATAATTTATTATTAAGGAGGAACTTACTTATCAAACGTCACTGATAATTCATTCCACTCACTTTTCACCCTGTTCAGAAAGGTATGAGTCAATAGAATCATATCGAGACTTTGGTATGACAAATTTATTGTTTTTTAGGGGTTCCAATCCTCTTTCCTCTTTAGTGCGACAATCCACTGATCCTGAAATGACATTCCACCTGCAATCTACATCAGTCAAATGACCTCGATGTATTGGTGATGCAGCAGTAAGGGCCAGCTGTGAGAAAAAATGATTAAGATAATGTACAACAGATATAATTCTTTAAGCAGCTATAAAACTAATAATTACCATTATTGGACAAAGTGGTGTAAGTTGATCATAGAGTGTTCGAGCCTCATCAATGTTACAGGCCTGGAAAGTAAGTTGAAGACAACAGCAGCCCATCCCAAATCCCATTGCATCCAAGTAAACGTGGTCTGGTTTGGCAGCAGAAGTGGCCTCTGGCTGCCCTGAAGGTGCCTGAGGGAACTGCTCCACATATGGAGAGGGTGTCTTCACATCTTTAAAAACTGATAGAAAAAACAATTTATAAAATCAAATAAAACGTTATTAAACGAAAATGTAACTAACTCAGTCAACAACCCCATCCGTACTTAAGAAAGTCAAATTTTTACTTACCAGGTAAATTAATTGCAACTTTTTCACCACGTCTCATTCGAATGTTGCGAGTTAGTGTTTTGAATCGAGGATGTCCTGGGAAAATACAGTCATCCGGAAAGAAGAGAGACAAAGTAGTTCCATCAGAAGGGGAGACTTTCGTTGGTGGATCAGTGAAGTCAGAACAACCCAATCTGAAAATGCCCATAAAAATATCGGATTGAAAATCAGATAAATATTTATGTTTGTAACTTGTAACACGAGCAAGGAGGAAGATTTAAATATAAAATCAGAAAGATCTTACCTTGGATAACTTGTGAGTGACATAAGAGCTTCTCCTGGCTGAAGGAGCTGTTGCACTTCTTCCCTCCTAAGCCTCATATTAGCTTCAACCACATTGTAGTGAGCAAGAAGGCCTCCATAGGGTTTGCCAGGTGTACCCTCAATCATGTATGCTCCATACTCAGGGCGCCACAAGGACTTAACATTCCTTTATAAGAAAAGATTTGCACAAATTTTAATAAACAACCCCGTAAATTATTTAACAAAAATAAAAATAGGTAGATGAGAATGGTGTAATCCACTCACTCGGGATCCTTCTGCTCTTTCTCGTTCAAAATTTGGAGGATATCAGGAGCACGTAAGCTTGCACGGGCTACCTTATTCTCATGATCAAACTTAACAATTACATACTCAACCTGTAATCAAAAGATAGTAAAGTCCTATAAGCAGTAAAAACAGACATGACAAAATAGTCATAAGAGAATGATGGTAACAAAACCATATTTCAATTGGACAGTTGCGAACATGATACAGAAAGCTCTACCTTTCCATGCAAAGGGACCAGCCTTCATTTAAACTTTACTGCACAGACTGACTGACAAAATTGGAGTCATTTGTAAAGTTCAAAGAAAAAACACAAAATAAACAGTTCCTTGTTGTCAGGTTAGTTTACCTCATCGCCCCATTTCAGTACGTCGCCTTGACGATTTTTCAATCGATGGTACAAATTGATGAATTGTCTAATTCCGTGTCGCCGCACATGGTCTGCAAGATCCTTGGTTTCTTCCCAGCTCAAAGGACTGCCTTCTGACAGCAAGCCCATGACAACACAAACTACAAACTGGCACCCAAAAAGCTTGGGATTCACTTGACACTTTCCCCCGTCTGCACCTCAGTGATCCTCTAATGACATAAATGCTGGAGACTTCCGCTGCTGCACTTGAGCACTCGCGCAAGGACCAAACCAGGACCCAAGACGCAGCGACCAAGGATTGCACAAGCGGGCCAGGCGCGCAGTGCCAGGCGAGGAATGCCAGGTTAGCAGTGTAGCAGTGGCAGTAGCAGTGGCACCAAAGGACCGCCACAACCCGACCGACCAGTGACGACCAGCGTGATGACCGCCGCTTGCCGCCTGCCCACTGCCGCTGCCGCTGCCGCTTGCTTGGCCGAACCTAGCCGAACCCTACCGAACCCAACCCCAGACGGCAGACGTCTACACCTCTTTCCTTCTGCGAAGGCAATATAGACCAAGCGCCACAAGCGCCACTACTCTCCTCTCTCTCCCACTGCTGGGTGACGCATCCCCTGCGTCCCCCACTCTCACCCTTCCGAGCCAAGGTTAGATGGCGACGGCTATGCTCGACCCTCGACCTTGAGGATGCGTTCGAATCGGCTGCTCCCGCCCCGCTCTCACCGGTGGTGGGGCGGTTGCGCGGCCACATGGGCGGGCCGCGTTTCGGACGCGCTCCTTCACACCAATTCTGGACTTAAGCCGATCTACTCGATCACCTGCCTGATTGCCGTTTAATCACCCCGCCAGTCGTGTACTTTTCAGATCGCAGATCGACCGACAACTTTTTATCTAAACCATTCTACATTAGTCCGATAGCGGATCGTCCTTGAACGCGAGAAACCCACTTCCCAACTCTGCACCCGCTGCCGCAGCTAGTTCCCGAAGCAGTTTCCAAGATGATATTACAGGTGTTTTGGCCGGGGTTGCGTCACAATAAATCGCATTTCTCTATGAGAACGTCAACAATATAGTTTTGAGCAGTGAAGCGTCATTTCCAGTGAAGCGGCAACAAGGCGGAACGTGGACAATGTTGCGCCGTGATTCAAACGGTCGCGCCACTACGTCATCTTCGAGAGTTGATTCTCTTTCGATATATCGAATGAAAGCGGTGGAGGGGGTGGTGGGGGGAGACGGTTGTTTTGTTGGGTTTTTGGAGTGTTGTTTTCAGACGTGTTTGATAAGGCTCTAGTAACTGTGATTGATCAAATATTTTACCATTACTGTACACGTGTGAAGTGAATAATAGTGTTGTGGTCGATTTTCCGGTTCGAGTTTATTGCTTTTGAGCGTCGGTCTGTTCCATCCTTCCTTTCAAGAACTCTTTCTAGCTGCGCTGAGGGAGGGGCTGAAAACACTTGTGCCAAAGTGTTGCCTGTCGGAGGATTTCTTCCTGTCGCTTGAGCTAAACCCAGGTACATAACATAACAACTTTACTAAATTTTGAATGTGTTTTGGTGAGACCTAGGCCCTAAATTCTATGTCATGTTACCTCATGTAAACAATTTTTGGGGGTTAGGGTAACACTTAGTCGGTTCTTATTACATTCTTTGAAATATCTGTCCTGCAAGCAGTAATTTTTCAATAAATTAATTAATTTGAGTCACTCATTGTTTTGATTTCACAAGTTGTGGGATCTAGTTTGGCAGTAAGTCCCTCTGCAAAGGTTTACCGTCATGTGCTGGCTGAACTTTCCCCAGTGTTTGAACAGATGCGTTCCATTATCCTCTGCCTGAATGAAAGCCCTGTCTGTTTACCTTGGTTTTTAATGTAGAGGGTGTTGTCTCGTCAGGAAGCTAGCCAGTTGTGCCCTTGTTTGCTTTGTAAAACTTTATCATGTGGTATTTGATCCATGAAGTGGAAGAAGGGGATAATGGTTTTACGATTCCACTTCTGTGGGCTTTGCCAGATTTGTGTGTTGCCATCATTTGATAAAGTATTTTAAAACGAAATGAGCTTTGTGATTCTTAATTTAACGGTCTCCAAAGAAATGCATGAGACAAGACAAGCCAGATTTATTTGGAGAAAATATTGGACGGCACTGCTGTGCTGCACTTGGACAGTCGATTGAGTGTGTGTGTGTGTGTGAGTGGGAATCTTTGGAGAGCGTGTGTGTGAGGGGGATTGGGGGAGGGGGTTGCTCTAGGTTGCCCTCAGCGCTTGCAGTGTGGTTGCGGCGGGGTGGGCGTGCGTGTGTGTGTGTGTGTGTAGTGTACGCGTGATGCAGACCAGAGCACGCTACACCGCCGCGCCACGCCGCGCCACGCCACGCCCGTGTCGAAAAAGAGGCGTTGCATGCTTGGCCAGTGAGTCACGCCTGGTCACGCTCGTGCTCCGCTCGCCCTGCTCGCCCTGCTCGCCCTGCTCGCCCTGCTGCAGGAGGAGCGATGTGCAGAGAAGAGACTCATCTTTTGGGTTCTTTGGCCCCGGCCACGCCAAGTACTTGCTTCTCTATTCGGCGGCGTCTGCCCGTCTGTGAGGCCCCTGAGGACGCGACTCGCTCTGTCTCTCTCGCTCTCAAGGGGCGCCCCGTGTAGGTGCGAGAGAGACAGACGGCTGCACCGGAAAGGCTTGAAGGACGGCCTGAGAGGAAACGATAAGACTGTAATCGGGGAATTCCCTCCCACGCGTCCGGCCCGCCAGGCCCGCCTCACTCCGAAGGACCGTTCTGACCTTTCGGCTTTCGGTCGCTTTGTGTTCGTCGCACTCACGGGACGCCCGATGTGCCTCCAGGCCAGCTTGTCCAGGGCCGTGTTTCGCAGTGCACCTGCTGGAATTCTGGAATTCGCGCGATGCGTAGATGCGCGCGCACACATTCACGCCTCCTGGCGGCGGGGTGGGCCTCTGCCTCTGCTTCGCCCTTTCGCCTGCAGGCCACGCCACGCCTAGCCACGCCACGCCGCCAGGGCGGCAAAGTTAGAAAGCGAATCTGGTGCAAAGGCGCCGCGGAGCCTGGCCATGGCAGGCGCACGCCAGTTCGTAGACGGCCGCGCCGCCGCGCTCCACATTTAGGTATTTAGCGATTCAAGCGACCGAATCTCTCATCTCTCCGGGCCGGTCTCTCCCGTTGTGGCGGCGGCCGGTCCACTGTTTGGTTGCGTTCCGCGTTCCCCGGTTCGCGCTGCACTGCCTGCTCGGGTTGCGGCGCCTGGTTGCATGCGTGAGTGCATTTCCATGCGCGCCTTGAACCTTATCTGCTCCTTGCAGTTACTTGCAGTGGAGTGCGCTGTCCATTCGGGACGCGTTGCGACACGCGCTCGGCTCGCTGTAGCAAACCTCGCCGTAGCAAACGCGCGCTGAGAAAAACGGGGTGCAAGTCTTGTCTCGGTGATGACCTGCTAATGATTACGCTGGGAAGAAAAAGGGAGGAGGCTTGCTCCTGCCGGCAGGTTACGGTCATTTGGGCCGTTAGGCGATTGGTCGATGGAAACTTGCACCTTTGGTTTCACTTTCCGTTGGAAAGAGACGATGCCGCGGCGCGCGCCGGACGCTCTCACTTTTCAAATTGCCTGCCGATCGTCGAAAGCGAAAAGTGATTTGCCACCAACTCATCACGCATCGAACCGCGCGCTGCATTTCCGCCCGCGGCGTGGCGTGGGTTCGAATACTGCGTCTGCTGTTCTATTTTTCCCTCTCTCTTTTCTGTGAGTGTTTTCTTATGACAAAGCGTCTTCACATCGGGCAATGGGCCAGTCCACCAAAAAAAAGAAACGAGGGTTTTATTGGTTACATTCGGTAGGCAAAACAAATCTACCTCCCCCCCGGTGGTTTTATTTTGGCTTCTCTTTTTTGCTCCCCTTTTCTCCCCGCCCCCCTAACGCCGGGGTGGTTTGTCTCAGATTCCCCGCCTGGCCCGCGCCGTTATTCCCCTCCTCTCTCTTCGTCCCCGCCCCCTTCTACGTAATAACAGAAGGCTAAGTGTTGCAGTTTGGAAAATCTGTCTCTAAAGGGTCCCCTCCCCCGGGGAAGGTGCCCGACTATTCCGAACCCCCTGCCTCGCCACTCTGTCTCTCTCGCACCCCTACGGACCGCCCCATGAGTGCGAGAGAGACAGAGCGACGAAAGCAGTGCTCGGAATCAGACGGCTGGCGGAGCTGGCGGACCCTGCGCTGGCTCAGCACTGTGCCGGCTGCCCGGCTCTAGACTCTAGACCAGTCTCTCTAGACTCGGTCGGCCTCCCCGCCCCGCGCCGCGCCGCGCCTTTCGCTGCCGGAACACCCGTAGAATTTGATGTGTGTGTTGGCGCCGGAGCCGGGCCGGTTGCCGGCACGAGGAATGAGAGGTGCGGGCTCTTTACCACTGCCACCGATCCGCGTTTACCGAAGAAGGTGTAACCGTACCAAGGGGCCCGTGACACCGAGACTCAGGAACGGCGTTCATGTATTCCGGCACCCGCACCGCTTACCGAGTGGAAAGTTCAGACCTGCATCTCCCACCTCTGACATAAAGGCGAAATCCAAATTCGAGCACCTTTGAATGACGGACTGACTCATCTTCAATTCGCCTAAACTCATGGGCAAATTTCGACGCTGACTCGAGATTCAGGGGAATCGTGACAAGCGTAACGTTGGATTTCGGCCCTATCTCGCCTCTCCTCGCACTGCGGTCCCCGTTCCATTTGTAGACTTTGATCCGATATCGTTGTTTCGAGTCCAGCCCATAACTGTTTTATTTTTTTTGAAGGATTTGAGATGTTTATGTCCGAATGTCTATCTTCCTACCGCTATCCGGAATGCGCCTTTAGCACGGTACTGGACGGCCAGCCGAACAGTTTCCAGGTACGAGCGGATGCAGCTATCCCGGGAAAAAAGCCGTTCGTCGGGACAGTCTCTCTGCACCAGGGTACGGTCAACCTTCTTTCGGTAAACAGTGAAGAGTGGCATTAGGTTTAACAGCCACAATCTTCATTATTTCTCTCAGTGGGGGACCGGACCGGACGGCACCGAGGGAGGCGCGGCGCGGAGACGTTCCCTTTTCGCACTCGCCGATCCGATCCGCGCTTCCTTCCGTGGCGTAACCTGGCGCAAGCGGCGCCAGCCCGCTGCACTCCGAGACTCATTTCGGTCGCTCTGTCTCTCTCGCACCTACACGGGGCACCCCAACGAGTGCGAGAGGGACAGCCTCTTATCTCGAGCCCACCTTCTGGCCACAACTTTGCATCACAATCGGCACGCCTTATCAGAATCTGTGCGGACGGCCCGGGACGGCCTAATGCCGCCTAGTGTCCTCATGGCTAAAATTGTCCCGACGCGTGTCCCGTAGATTCTAATGAGGACGCGATGACAAGCGTTTCGGGCCCGTGACTCGGCGCTATCTCGCCGTCTCCCTCGCACTCGCGGGGCGCCCCGTTGGAGTGCGACCCAACACGGTGTGCAGTGTCGCGGCGCCCAAGCCGCTTCGCTCGTTGTTGTTTTGTTTTGAAAGGAAATTTGCAGAGTGTGGCCCGGAAAGTGGTCTATCTATCCGCCGCTATCCGCCCGGAGCGATAGAGCACGCGCGCTGGCCGCGCCAGCCGCGCACTACACGGCCCGGCCGGGGAGTCCGGGGAGATAGACACAGCCTGATTCCGGACAGCGCTTCGTCGCTCTGTCTCTCTCGCACTCATGGGGCGGCCCGTAGGGGTGCGAGAGAGACAGAGCGACGAAGCAGTGTTCGGAATCAGACGGCAGGCGCCGCTGTCACAACGGTGCTCCGCTAATGATGCACTACACTGGCGCGGCCCGGGGCGGCCCCGCCCCCCGTTCCCCGTTGCCAATCTAGAAATGACAAAAAGTTTGGGAAATGAAAACAAAAGGTGGTGGCGCGGCTTGGCTGGACTCGCTAAGACTCTTCATCGAGCCTATCCGGCTCCGGTCAGCTGGACGTCCGCGGCGTGTCGTGTTGTTTCGTCGAGTGCGGCACTGCGGCATGGGTCACTTGAACTTGGCGGTTTTGCCGGCCGCGGCGGGCCGCCTCGAGGGCTATGCTCGAGGGTCGTTGCGCAATATTTGCGGTCGAAAACGAAAACGCGCTCTTTGTTCCGCGTTGTATTGTGTTTTCTTCGGCAGGTGAGTCGAGTCGAGTCGCGCCGGTATTGTTTGCCGTTTATTGGTCGCTGGGTAGTCAGACAGACAGACAGACAGGCAGACAGACGGTCGCTGTCGCCTGGTACTTACTCTACATAAGGGGGACCCTGACGGCGCCCAGCGCCGCGAGGGTGGGCAACCCAACGTGCTCTCGTGTGCCGCGGGAGTTCTTGCAAGGCGGTTCCGAACCTAGCTTCCGTTCGCCGCTCTGGCTCTCTCGCACTCGCCTGCGGGGGTTCTAAAGGGTGGTGAAGCGCTGTTCGGACCTTATGAGTCTCCTCTTTGCGCCTGTCCACACGTAGCTTCTGCCTCCTCGAAACCGGGGAGGAAATGAGTGCACCAGACCGTCC